TATATATATTGCATTGACAGCGAGAGGTTACAGGTTCGAATCCTGTCAGAGGCATTTTATTACACAACTTATTTATCTATTTAATGAAACAACATTCGTTGAGAGCTATGCACACGATGTAAGGAAGGTAAATACATTGTTCGAATAAATGACGTGTAGCATTAGCTCTCAACAAATGTCGTCCTATAAATAAATAGATAAATTATATATATATATATAATATATATATATATATATATATATATATATACATATAACTTTTCTATTGAACAACGCTGAATATGCATGATATGTTTTCCCTTAATTCATCTGGGGTGGTGATGCATGTGCTATCGTTTGTGGAGTGTCCAGAGCGGGGCCCATCTGCTCCTTAATTGAGACAACGTCGTTGTCTTTTGCAGTGCACGGTAGTAGAGCCGAGGACTTATTCTGAGGTGGAAGCTACCGGAGCCTAGCATACTGCCTAACGGAGTACCTGCGCGCACCCGGGTGTGACAGCGACGTTGCTGTCGACATCGGTGGTTGGAGCCCTGTTCTGGATATTTATACCGATAGCGCAAATGCTTTTTCGGAACTGTTTAGTTTAAGTACCGTACCGTAGTTTAAGTCAAAATTTATTTACTGCTTGTTTTCTTTTTGTAAAGCCCATTGAGGCTTTTTTGCGGAATGCGCTATAGAAGTATGGAATTATATTATTATTATTATTATTATTATTATTATTATTATTATTATTATTATTATTTTTATTATTTTTATTTTTATTATTATTATTATTGTTATTATTATTATTATTATTATTATTATTATTATTATGAAGAAGGCGTGTCCACGTGTGTTTCGAAGCATATGTAGAATATAATGTAGCGTAACAGTAATGAAACTCAAATACATTTTATGTTAAAAGACAAACTTGAATGAACATGGGCCAGCCTAATATCGTTTGCAGCGATAAAAAGAATTGTTATTCATAACAAGAGGGTTTATTAGGCATTAGACTTAGCATTGATTCTAAAACTCTCAACGTTGAAGACAATTCCAGATACTAGTAGCAAACAATAAACAGAGGTTATAGGCGACGTATACAAAGGGCCCCTATTCAGATATTATGGTCACGTAACTGAGTTTAACGGCACGTACGTGATAGCATTAATGTTTGCTGATGTTTTTGTCAGTGATTGATACAGTAGGCCTGCACGAATCAAACAGTCAATTGGTGTAGATAAAGTAGGACGTACAAGATGTCACAAGATACGCGCGGCAAAAAGAATCGCAAACGGTTAGCAACTGGTAGATATAAACATGATCTGAAGACTGGATGGTCTAGTGTATTTGGAAATGAAAATCGGTTACATCATTGTACGAAAGTAACTGTAAGTATTCTGAAGTAGGTATAGTCTTGGGATAGGCATTCGTAAGGCGACAGCAGGTCACCTTATCAACCACTCCGTTTTATTAGCACTGCCTGGTACACAGTACATTGGATTGTTTTTGACGCTTCGATGACACATCACATTGGTGGTGAAATCTTATGACGAATCCTTTGGTATTACGCCTATCTGATACTGGTATTATTGACTTCTGTGAAACCTTCTCCCGGACATGACCAAAGACTCCATCACTAGGCAACAATTTCCAGCAACATTTATTAAAATGTTGACAAGTAATGAATACTTTACCAACAATTGTCAACTTGAGATACTGTATTATGTCCTATTCGAATAATTTCTTTTGATATGTTCTCTTTTTACAGGCAAAGGAAAAGTTTAAAAAGGCTGTAAGGGTGGTATTGTGTCTGGTGAAGTTCTTTGCCATAATCTTTAAAAAGTGAGTAGGCGTTGACAGACTGAACCGCATAATAATATACAACAAAATATGTAGCCTAGCATAATATAGTATTGTATGATATGGTATGATGTTGACAGTGTGGTGTGGTATGAACTTTAGTAGATATAATAATTTTCTATATATAATATAGGCTAGTATGGCATCAGTGTTATATATAATTGAGTATGGTATGGTATATAGTGTATATTGTAATGCAGGTGACGTTTTGGTACAGCAGTATAATATTATAGCATACAGTAATATAATGCCGATGGCCCTTACACTAGCCTGTTGAACAACAAGTGAACCTTAAACAGAATAGATTGGCACCCACATTTGATATGTCTCCTGAAACGTTGATACATTACAATCATCTAGGCCTACATAGGCACTGCAGACTTACAGAAATTCGCCTCATTTACAAATAATAGTCACTGGGTTTACGAATGTATATATACATAGGTACTGTACCATCGTACATACATAATTGTTCAGCACGTGATTATGACGTCATTTTCTCCATTTTTAAAGTGTGACGCCATATTATTTGTCACTTCTTTTACTTCATTTTTAATGAGGATTACGGACACGGATTACCGAAGATATTTCTTTCTTATTTTTATTAACAGAACAAAAAATCAACCAAAGGAGGTAATGTCCTTTACGGAGATAGCGCATAACTTAGAATCGGATACAATGAAATATTCAGGATTATCTTTTGATCCTCGGATGTATAAAGCCAAAAGAGAGGTAGGCATACACGACGATCATGCTGATAATGTAATAATAATGTTTCGGCTAGTAGTTTTCATGCCTTCGCGAGAGTAAATATTTATTATTTTTGTATAACGGGCATGTAGCCTAAAGTACAGCAGCGGGGCCTCTATCCGTCCTTTGGGACACAATAAAGCGGACACAATTTCGGCCACGAAACGAAGGAAAGTTTATCTTTTAACACTACGACAAACCCTTATTTAAGGGACACTCCTACAGGAGCCCCGAAGGTGTCCTATTGTACTTCTGAATAAATATTAGTACAGCGTGCCATAAACATGAACATCTTCACAGCGCTTACAATGCTGTTACCATTGGATTCATATAAACAATCACGCACAACGTCCAACCTACCCCGCTTCACGGAGAATTGTAATTTATTGACGTATATGATAACACTAATTATAATTAGATCAGATAGCTATATGGATTGAAGACATGCAAATCATTTTATTATAGTCAAAATTTGACAGGAATTGATAAAAGGTAATAAGCCTATAAATATTATTATCATTGCCGATGTGTTAATAAATAATATTATGTCATACTTATCATTTTGTTTGTTCATAGATAAATCTAAGCGCAGATGTGAAAAATGTACTTAGCGTCCCAAGTGTATACAGAACCACAGATCAATTGCAAACGGTGAGGGCGATGCTGGTAGAAAATTATATTATATTATTATGTTTGCTTAACTAGATCATAGAACTATAAAATGAGACATTTGCAACAAAGCTTTTCGTATTTCAGTTTACATAAATTACGCAACTAACTATAAATTACACTACAGTATTATATCACAAAACTTCATTGGTGAAAATATAATTAAAACATTTTATAACTACTATGCCTACCATTACTCCTAGGCTACTACTACTGCTGCTGATGCTGTTGTTGCTGTTCCACCACCACCTAATCTTTAAATGGTCCTCATATCCACACCCTACTTCTGATGGGGACCAAAATTTAAACACTTCTACATTAAAAAATGACAATTACTGGAAAGCGTCATTTTGATCCATTGTTCCATTTTAGAGATATTTAGGTGTGGGACCTAATGGCCCTCAAACGCACACATGACCCTTAAATTTGGACTGACACCAACACTTTATAATTTCTTCCTTGTAAATTACTTACACTTCCACGAGAGTTTCATTCAGATCAGTTGATTAGTTTTTGAAATATCTGAGATATTTAACAATAATAAATCACACAAAACTCGAAATGGGACATACACGCACACAAACTTGCACGACTGAAGACATATAGGCCTATCTCCTAGTGGAGATAATAACAAACATTTATTAATAGAATACATAAGTAATGCATCAATGAAGACGATGTTTACAATTAGTCATTACTCCACTTCACAATCGTTTCAGGCACTGTATGGTTTGCAGACAATGAAATCCTTTGCAGAGTACCCCCTACATATGCAAGAAAAGCTCGTTAAAGTGGCTTGGTATGAAAGGTAATTCAGGCTACAAAGCCAAAATAAATCATTATACTTCAAGTACACAATGAAACCGAAGTACACTATAACTCATCTTACGCGGGGTTACCAAAATATTTAAGTCGGGCACTCACCGCGATGGTCGTCGGCCGACTCGTTTCTATGACGAACGCAGCTTCACAATGCGCGCGCAACGGATGACGATCAGTTCTGACTGCCACCGACAATCAAACGCCGTCACGTCATCTACCGCTCACAAAGAGCGGACTTTGATTAGTTGCCCTAGTCTCATTTACCTAGATGCATGCTGTGACAGCAGATAGTGTTTTTTCACGACCGAACACATTCCAGATGTGTATAAGAGACAGGCCGGTTACGTACCAAAGCTGTATTCACACCGAATTCGAATTTTCGGAACGGAAAGCCTAACGAACCGATCAGGAAATAGAATCAATGTCTAAGAATAGGGACGCTGACGTTGTTCAGCGCATCGGAAACGCTGTCCGAATTTCGGTTCGGATCCGATGTGAATGCAGCTTTAAAAAGGTACTACTAGGGTATTTCTTCATAATCCATGTTGCTAAGAACTGAACTTTTACTCACTTAAGGTCTGTCCACACTATTAAATTTTATGTGGCAAATAAATGTGATACGCCCATATTTGTTACGCCCAAATATGCTATCATCATTCCGATATACGGGGCACACATCACACAAACTTGTCATATGAAATTTGATAGTGTAGACAAAGCTCTTAACTATAGTCATACGAATTTAAGTACTGTACAACTTAATTCTGAATTGTTGTGCAATAAACGTTCCCATATTACACCCACATCACTGCACTCTAAAGTCGGGCATTTAACTGCGCCACGACGCGTGAGCAACGGATTGTTTTTCAATGACGATCCGTTAAGACGGCTACCGACAATCAGCAGACGGCATCGCGTGGTCTAGCGCTCACAGGCAGCGGAGTTGGATTCGTCGGCCGACGGTCGTACGAATGTCGTACGTCGCAGCGGGTGCCCGACTTTTTGCTAACTTGTCATAATCGTTGTTGCAGCGTTCCAGCTAAACGAGTTATCATCCGACAAGGTCATTATGCTGAGAATTTCTACTTTATCATATCCGGTTCAGGTAAACCCCTTTTCTTAATTTAATTCAATAGTTAGATATAGCAAAAAAAGAAATGCAGCTATGTTCTCTAAACCACGACTTATAATGAGGCTTAAACATTTTTGAACCTATGATCTCGGTTTAAGGATGACCACGCAAACAATATGCCTTCTACAACTACATAGGTCTTGGTTATGTGTATATCATACATATCGTATCATATTAATAGCAAACACATTAATTTTAGCCAGGAAAGTGAGATTCAAGTACGGTACTGTATTACTTTGATTCTCATGGGTGCCAAAAGATTATATGTCGCTCCAATGGGTTAAAATGATCCTTTTTGTCACGTGACCTCTAAAAAAATATTTTTATTACTTGGTGTTTTGCATAAACCTTCCGAAAGGAAAAATGAAATTGATTCCAGTTCTTATCCCGGTTTTTATCACGTGTGTTAACATAAAAGTTCAAAGCATTATGTACCCTGGGCAGCTTCTCTATTATTCTATGTTACGTAAATCCGGATAAAAGCCTGCGTCGTCCTAAACTACACTGTACAGAACTAGAAAGACTTTGTAGATACCATCAAGTAGTATCCTAATTTTCAACAATTAAAAGATAGTCTCCCATTAGTCGTTTCCATCTTACTATTTTTTATATTGTATATTAGCTATTTGTTTTCGTTCACTGTCATTTTATCTGCCCAGCAACATAAATTTCTGTATATCTTATATATGGATTATAAAGGTTCTTAAATATTAGGATGCTCTACTTTTTAGACATTTTCAAAGGCTAAGGCCCTAGTCTCATTTACCTAGATGCATGCTGTGACAGCAGATAGTGTTTTTTCACGACCGAACACATTCCCACTCTCTTGCCTAGTACCGTAATGATTATATTTAAAAGAGAACTTAAATAGGCCTATCTGCCAAACTTCTAGGTTAAGCTAGAAGGGCCAACATTATACTCACTGCATTTTTTCTGAGATATGTTATATTCCTACTTGATATTTTCAGTAATTAGTTTCTTCCATTAATGCTCACATAATTATAATGTCGTTCGAAGAATGAAATGCTTCAAATGAAGAATATTATACAATGAATCATTCTAACACCTTTAATCCAGCCGTTGTAACAATTATGGAACAAAACCATGATACTGGTGAAGCAAGCCTACGGACTGCTGCATTCTTAAGGAAGGGGAGTTCATTTGGGGAACTTGCCTTGTTGCACCGCTCACAACGAACAGCTACGGTGACAAGTCAGGAACCTGTGGAGTTACTTGCAATAGGAAGAGACGATTTCTTTAGAATATTTATGAGAGGACAGGAACCAGGCGAAGAGCCCGAGCACATACAATTTCTAAGGTATTTTTAAAAACACAAGCGAATCATTCGATGGGGGTTTGCGTCAGGAGATTTAAGACACCAAGCTAGTTATCTGGCGATCGTGGGTTCAGTTCCCACCCGAATCACTTGTAAGATTTTTTTTCTCCCGCAAGTATTTGGGAATGTACTGAGCATTCAGTACGATAATAATATTATCGTATATGATGATTTTGCCCTACCTGACATATTATGTCAGGTAGGGCAAAACCATCATTCATACAAACAAATCAATTACGAATAATCAATTAATAATATTAAGGCTCAAACTCTTGACTTTGCATACTTAATTTAAACACAAATATGCATCAATATGACAAGAAACATTTAGAACTGAATTTCATTGGACAGTTGGTGATCATGTATTAAATTACCATTTTAGGCCTCTGCAATTCATGAAAGAATGGCCAATAGAGACGTTGATAGAACATCCAGAAATGTGTTTATTTCACTTCTACAAGTAAGAAACTTTTAGTATCACATTGTTAGTATTACGTTACGACGTAATCTCATCGTATCTTCCTTTAGGCCTATTTTGCATAAACTTCTTTTTTACTAGGCTTCGAGTCTACTTGCACAGGTGGTAAATTTGTACACATGGTAGATTCAGCCCCTTTCTCTTTGTCAAATAGGTGGGTCTTCTGGGCACATAGGCCTACACTGTGCCCCGAAGACACGACGCTCCGGTCCCTGACTGCCATCGATAATTTGGTGGACATTCTTTTACTAGGCCTATTAGTACAATTGTAACTATCGAAGGCGGGCGCTCTTCCCCTATTTATCTAGAAATACTAAATTTGTATTTAATAATATTTTACAGACGAGGACAAGTCATTGTAAAAGATAGCAATTCATCTGATTGGATATACATTGTCAAGTCCGTAAGTTTACCTTATTACATGTCATACGGGAATGAAAAATGAAATGCGTATAATTTGAGTTATTCGCCACATCTGATAGGATATAATTGAGTTAATACTGATAATATTCCAACATGTTAAATAATTTCATCTAATGAATAATGTACAGTAAAGCCGGGAACTTACTGCACTGCACCTAAAGGCCAACTCAGACAGCGTCGGCCGACGCAGCCCGACCCGATTTATCGTCGGGGACAGTCTTAAGCCGTCGTGAGAAATATTAAACATGTTTAATATTCTACTACGCGACTGCCCCCGACGCACACCATCGCGTCTGCGTTTAACTCACACAGATCCGACGCGACAAAAAATCGCGTCGGGCAGCGTCGTACGACGCTGTCTGAGTTGGCCTTAATGGATCGTCTGCCGATGCGATCCTATGAAGAGCCCAACGCCACGACGAGCGCGCAAATGGATCGTGTTTAATATGAAGATTCGCTCAAGTAAACTAGCGCTCAACTAAACGGAGTTGGAATCGTCGTAGAATGCAGTGAGTGCTCAGCTTTAGTAAATTTAATACCTATTCGTTTACACATCTTTTCCATGATGGTATTTAGGGCGCACTCCAGCCCTAATCTTTCGTTCGAGAAAACCGGCGAAATAAACAATTTTTACTTATTTAATTATTATTAGGGAAGTTGCCAGGTGATGAAGCAAGTTTGCTGCGTAGCACCGTAAATAAAATATAAAAAAATAGATGAATGATAAGATAATAAGAGTGCTCGATTAGGAACACATAAATATACGTATAAAATTATGTTTGTGTATTTAGGTACAACCGATAAAGACGAAACAATAAATACTACAAAACGAACGCAAAATCAAAAAATAAGATTTCTGGAGCAAGAGCCAACTCTCCAGGCAACAAGAACAGTTTATCCAGAGAGCGACACAGCTAGCGTAAGTATGCATGACATCGTATTTTCCGTGTTTGGTGTTAGCGACAACATTCGAAGGGCTTAGCGGGACGATCAATTGACCTTTCCACCTTTCCGCTAAGCCCCGCCCCTTGGATACTGTCGGTAAGATCACACAAGACGACAGCGTAAAAAAATGCGCAAACACATGCGTTTTTGGTTTGTGGAACAACAAGCGTGCTTCTTGGACACGCGCTTATTCCTGGCACTGTTCTGATTGGTCAGATGTTAAGTTTGATTGACACTCCGGTATAGGTCAATTACACCTCATCTGATTATGATCAGAGATAATAAATTGCAGAAGATAGAGCAGCTTCCCAATTTTGTGGAACTTCTGTTCGAAATGTATGGTGGGTACACGGAGAGTAATTTTACCCCGTCCGCATAGCGGCGCTATACGGTATATCAACACAGAGCCAAACAAGGCAATGGAACACATTAAAAACCTTCCTCTCCTCTCTGCCATAGTTAAGGCCCGATCGCGGGAGGGCGGATGTTCCATCAATCTTAATGTAAATACGCGGAACAGCTCATTCTTCTGCTATTTAAGTTGTTTGCTATGATGTGAATACCGTCTGCCATTAGTTGGCAATACGGCAAAAGAGTAGATCTTTCAAAATTAAATACACTGAAACATAAAGGCTATTTCTGTTGTATTAGTTTCCGATTTATCTTTTAAAGTCGCTGGATTATTTCTGATAGGGCCTATCGTGTTTTGTAATTTCTTTTTATTGTAAATTGATATTGTTGATTTGACCACAATCTTTGTAAATCTTTTATTATCCTGTAATGATTTTATAATAATTTTTGCTACTAATGAATTATAAATACATATTAAATGTAATTGTCTTTAGCACTTTTTAATGTATATATCTAAATTTAATTAGTCTCAATCCGCAGTGAAATTTATTGATTTTTTTTGTAAATTGTATTCATTCTAACAGTAAATTGTAAATAGGCTATGTTATAATCCTTTAAACAACTTTCAGACAATTTATCTATTTTATACAATTAAACTTTGTACTTTATTATTCTGTTCTACTTTTTTTACTATTTGATACTTAAATTTTTCATGATGCACAATGTTTTTGAATAGTCTGTTTTTTTTCCTTTTGTTAAATTTTTTACCTGATACAATAAAAAAGAAATAAAGAAATAAAGAAGAAAGATACGAATTCTTTTTTCTAGATTTCGGAAGACCTCAAATTACCTCAAGGTGTATTTTTAACACGACCTAAAACAGTAGAAAACATGTCGTCCCACCATGGAATAAATCCTACGTTTGATCCACTGCGGGGAACACGGCCTAGCAAAATATCATACTCAAAAAGTAATTTTCACCTTAATGAAAAGTTACTAAGAGACGTAAGTATTTTTATAATAGTTTTTATTGTGCCTTTGGCCCATCCACTATGTTTGGGATGACGAAGGATAACAAAGATATCAGGGAGAGAATAGTATGTTACGTGAAATGTCCCTTGGTTTAAAGAAACTGAGAAAACCTTACTATATCATTAGCAATATAAAAATAATAAATTAAGGTTGTGTCTTCAATAACAAAAAACATAAACTATTGTAATTTATTAAACCAAATATTGATGATTTTACTATATTTGTCTTTTTGTTTTTGACATGCCGTACACAATTGTATTATTACAAATTTCATTAAAACATAATATACCGTGTTCATTTAATTACAATTGCTCAAAGTTCTTAAAATCAATGTGTGATTTATTATGTAATTAGCATGATGCAGGGTATAATACGAGCCATGCGGATGATTCCAAGCCGAGTAACTCAACTTCAGAAAAATTAGCTGTCGTGGTGTTTGTTCAAATAGAGATTCTTCAGCGAAAAGATACGTTTGTAAGTTTTGTATAACCATTGATAACTAACACCAAACATGGAGTTATAATCACGCACCAAAGAATATAGAATTGGTTCGGGTTCGACTCTCGTGGTTTCGTTGGAGCATAATCTTATTTCAAAAAGTATGCCACCAAGGGACGTGTACTAAAAAGATGAGTTTCGAGCGAACTCTATTCGAATTCTAATAGGGCGCCCTCTACCTCATAGCAGTACTTTTTTTAACGACGTTCAATTGCATGCATATAAAATTCGGGCAGTCGGGAGTCTTGCTGTTCTATACTCTTTGCTAACACACTTTTTATAAAACCCCATATCTTACTGAACATACTGAAATGCAAGAATTTCTTTCTAGATTTGAAGCACCAGCATAGCTTTGCTAATAGGCTGCTCAATGTTGTCAGATCAAACTTCGTAAAATTATGGTGTATTTAAGAAGGTGGATGGACCAATGGCACTCCAAGGCAGTCACAACTTTTTCTTGATGGGTATTCCAAGTCACAACAGCCCGTCTTTAGGAAGAATTAAAACGTGGATTTGTCCGACTGTAGTTATATTTTAACTTATGGCAGTGACCACGAGTTCTAGAATTTTAATCAAGATCGAACAGAAAACCGTCAGGATTATTATCAATGCCATTTAAACTTTTAGAAAACCTTCTTCATCTTTTTTATACAGGGACAGCAAAACGTTACAATACTCCGAAATTTATCTGATAAACGACTTGATATAACTTTATAAAACTACCTTTTCTTTAAAAAAATATCATTGCATATTATGGCTACCATAATTAAAGTGGCAATGACTGGGACATAACATTATACACTTATTGTATATTTTACAGGGATTGTCAACGATAGGACAAGAATTTTTACACGAACAGTCAAGTGTAAGCCTAGTAAGTAATAAAATGCAAATTATACTAAACATTTTTTATACTAAAATGTTTGAATCATGATATATATTAACACGCGGTAACGCGATATAACGCGGTAATTAACTGACATTGCGTTACAAGTTCTTTTTCGTTATAGGTCTCCAGAGGGGCAGAATGTGTAATGATAAACAAGGAGTTCTTCGTTAAACACGCAAGTGAACGAGTTTTGAGAAATATTCGCAGCTTACGTGGGCCGTATCCCTCATCAGGAAAGCTACAGAAACATCTTGAACATTACACGGTGTGGAACGAATTTAAAAATGAAGCAGTGGTTTCAATAATTAAAGACAAAAAGAGGTCAACAAAAAGACCATAGTTCCACACTAACTAACCAGCGGATAGGATGAATGCATGGAATTGTGTCATGGAATTTAAGTTCAAACTAAGATTATCTTAGACTGTTCTTTTGTGTTTGATGTAAGAGCTACTGTACCGACACAGCCGTTTGTTTTTCGAGAACCTTAAATTCAGGATAATTATTTTACTCACACGGGTTGTAATTAACATGACGAGCATAGAATAAAATATGAGAGTACAACATAAAAAGGGCGTTTGTGTTTTGATTTTAAAAAAATGAGGCGTTCTGAATAATAAACAATGTTGAAATTTACTATTTAATTATTATTCAGAACGTATGTGTTTTGATAAAAGTGAAGCGTTATGAATAATAATGAGAAATTTTAACAGATTCACCAAAAATAAATAATTTTGAAGTTGATAATAGAATTTTTCTTAAATTACAAAAGTTATTAATTATTAACTATAGACAATTATTGGAACGATGAACATTCCTATAAACACATGTTTACAATGTTGTATGACATTCCAAGACAAATAAAACCAACAATTAGGCTTGCTAAAATTTGGCCAAGTATAAGAAGTTTCTTTAAAAACTTACAACAATTAGAAAGAGAGATGAATTAGTCGAAGAAACGCTGCAAGTAAATGCCAACTTAAGTGTTTATTTTTATATTTTGATTACGTAGGCCTAATACAACAGTATAAACGAAAGATATACTTACATTATACATGATGTGCATTATCTCGGAGACCCCAGTGCTTCTTTTCTCCTAATTTTATCGATTGATTTCATCAACGTTACTTTTTTAAAACTTTCCCATTCGGCATTGAGATGGAATTGTTGCTGGAGAGCCTCTGGGCTTGGATATGGGCGTATCTGAAAATGTATTGCTTAATCATTGCAAAGTAATTTGGACAGGCATGCATTTTTTTCTAGATCAATGCGCCTAATCTCACATAAATGTGACCGGCCTTGGCAAATCTTTGTCGGAATTTCCAAAATGTCCGATAATTGACATCTCGACTAATTTCAGGTTTTTTCAGTTTATTAAGAAAGAGACAAAAGGAGAATATTGTCAATCAGTGCCGGTCACAAAGGTTGATTTACCAATTCGGGATAAATAACAACGTGTATATTTCTAGTGTGAAAACAAAACCAGTAGAAATACTTAATAAATGCACCATTCAGCGGAAAGACTTGACGAACGTAACCTACCGTATAAGTTTATAGTATTAGTAGACAAAAAATTGATAATTTCAGGACAAATGTTTAATAAACGTTGAATTAGATCCGGAAGTTGTACTTACCGTCCGTAGTAAATGCTTTCGCAGACCTTCTGAAAGATGCTGGTTGAAAAATCGTTTTGAAATTAAGATGCATTCCGCTCCATCTGATACAAGTGCTGCACATAATGGAACAAAAATTCCCTTGAATATCAAATCTGACAAACCCTGAATATAGAATCAAAGTCATATCCTCTATTAGCATACACGATATAATAACAGGGTCACTTACATTGTCTTATAAAATAGTAAATGAATATTTCATAGGAAAATTGTGCTAATGTTATTTTCGTCTATGTGGAACAAATGTGAAGATGATGTAGATGCATTCAGTACCGTACTTCTACCAATGGGTGATCTAAACATGGAAGCACAATGAAGCTTCGTAAGGAAATTAGTTAACACTACAGAAAAGACTTTTCTATTAAATGCAGTCATGGAAGTAGCTGATCTAGAACTTTTTTGTCGGGAGTATGGGGACACGGTGGATATTGAGGAACTAAGGTCCCAACGGGCCTTAACTATGACAGAGAGGAGAGAGGAAGATTTTAATGTGTTCCATTACCTATTGTTTGGTTCTAAATGAAAAATGCCACAAGTATAAAATTATACTCACAAATATGTCACCCGCATTTAGTTTTCCCAACTGAATAAAACAACTTTGACAGTTTGTTTGTTCAGCTGTTCTTTTGATAAAATTATTTCTGTGATTTCCAACAGAACAATCGAGACACAATGAATAATCCATTCGTTTAATAATACGGCAAGTGCCCTGTGAAAGTTAAGATATTCAAAATTATCACTTTCCAAACATATAAGTATTTCCCTGTTTGGACTTTCTGCAGATATTATCATCCTGATGACGATTGAAGCAAATCAATAAAACGTCGAGAAATTCTCAACAAAACAACACTTCTTTTCAGAACTATCTACGTGGTGTACTGCAAGAATTTAATATAAAATTATAATAATCATCAAAATCATAAAAAAATTTAAATCGTTAATCCATCAAAAAACATCTCGGTTATCTAAAATAATCTAAATGAACAAGTAAATTTTACTTACTGATTTTACAACATAAAGCCATTTTGATTCAACACTGTCATGTGTGATGATGTTCCCTCGGCGAAAGTATGTGAACAGACAAATGTTTGGATCATGAAATGGTAGAAGATTGACTGGCCAATCAGAAAGCTGCTCCAGTGAATGCAAGAAACCTAAGAACTCTGGCGGTTGTGTGGTCTGGACGAAAATCGCCAGGAAATCCTGACAGTTGAGTAAGAAATAATACACAGAAACTTTATAAACTTACAAAATATAAAAAAAAAAATCTAGGAAACAATTTTGTCTGAACGAATATCGCCAAAACTTTCCCTTATATTATTTGGAAAGTTAAAGAAAGTTTTGTGTTCTTTCATTATTAGGCTAATTATTATTATTTCGCGATAAATTTTCAAATTGAATAATAAAATAATGGAAAGGTATTTTCTACAAATAATTCAATTTAAATTTAGGCCTCTTTTCCGTAAAATGTTGTCGATTTCAAAGATGTGTAAAAATACAGTAAATATTATGACGCAGAGATTAGAAAACATAATAATTTTTATACAAATTATCTAATGAAAGTTCTATTTACTGTGTTAGCAAAGTTCTTAAAAAAAACTAATGATCACAAATAGGCTTCTCTATATTTTACATTTGTTTAATTAAAAACATATTAGTGTTATTTTTGCTAATGTGATAAATTTTGCTAACGTGAACAAAATTCAAACAATACTGGGGGCCTCTACTTTAGATAAAATTTGTTATATTAGTGCTACAGACTATCTGTGAACACCAGCCGTGAGTTTGTTGGGCTGGGTGGGTCGGAAGCATACCCATTTACAATACAAACAAATTACGCTGTCTAAAAAAAACCACGTAGTATTGCGCCCTCAGTTTTACCCTTGAGCTACGATTACAATCGTAGATGGCAGCTAACTGCAATTTTTTCTTTATCTTACCTTTCTGTCAATGGCCAGCAACTCTACGTCAGTCCGGCACTTAACGCTTGCGTTGCGCTTAGCATGGTGAATCAATGCTAACTCCTACGAAGATAATGATAATGTAAGAAATAAACAATTAAATACAGAGAGACCGTATTATATTTTACTCCCTTAGCACTCAAAAAAAGTCGATACCATTTGTTGTCTCTATTGTGATGCTCGATACATAACACGTTAAGCCTCATTTTAGTATCAAGCATTCCAATTCGATTGCACATAAACTAACTTATTCTAAACTAAATGCTTTTGGCTCAGTTTCAATAATGAATTTTTTTTTAATTGTATAAGAAAAACACCAAAATAAAAAAGTAATGTATATAGATGGTGTGGTGTTGTGATTATTTACAATATTGGCAGTAGCGCCACCTATTGGTGTTAAGGTTGGAAACTTGGAGAGGAGCCATAATGATGATGAATGAATAAAGGCAGAGAACCATATGATGAGTTCTAGTGTTTGTACTTCATTTAATGTATGCGTAGTTACATGATATACTACCGACAGTACAACATTACAGATGGGGTGGAAAATGACAACCATTTCATGATCCACACTCATTTTCACTCATTACATGTCATCAAGTTGAAAAGCAGGAACCAAATCCCGAGTAAACTTGGAAATTGGTGGGAACATTCTGGGGGATTTTCCTTTCGGAATGCTAGCACTTTAATATACTCAACTACAGAAAATTTGAAGCTCTAACGAAAAGTATATTGTTGAAGTCATATGGGAGAAGAAAAAAGCAAACTAGACTAATTTGATTTGATACATTTGTTTTACTCGTAAATGTTATTGGAATGATTGATATTTACCCCAAAACTGTCTCCATTTCTTAAGTACGCAACGTCATTTGATATTTTGTCTCCAGTCTCTGGATCCTTGCTTGTAACGTTTACAACAGCTGTTCCTGAGAGTATTAAGTAGAATTGTTCGGCTCGATGTCCCTGTCGTATTATTAGCCTGCCTACTTCAAAACTTTAAATGAAAAACTGTAGATTATGTATTAAACAGGAGAAATAATACATATTCCAAATGCATGTTGTAAACTTTTTCATGAACTAATTGACTTCATGTCAAAGACTCGTCACAGAACTCCCTATTGAATCATATCTTTTCATAATCACTTTCTGTGGAACAGTATTTGAGAATTAGGTTTTGCATGCAGTCATTTTATTAGAAATTATTATAAATCTCATCAGACAAATAGCGACAAAGATCTCTCGTGGAATCTCCCAGAACCAATTATGTTTAGAATCATGATTATTTCTATACGGAATTACCTTTCAAACCAGCCGACTCGGACAATTGACTGTTGCATCTTTATCGGAAATTCTCGAAATGGTTCAACACGCATGCGTAAAGAAGCCAATGCCTGATGAAAGAAAATACAAACGGCCATAAAAAAAATGTTTTACTCGTCATCATTGGAATATCAACTGTCTTATTATTCGAAAGTTTACATTTTGTACTTTTTGTGTATGATAAAAAAAAAAACACAGACTAGCCAATTACCGCATGAAGCAAATAACAGATTCATGGTATTATAAATTAAGAAGAAGAGCAGTTATTACCACATTGATTCGTGAATTAATCCTTGTATGAAAACTTGTCATTGGATGCACAGATTATTGTATAAAAATCAAGATAATGAATTTATAAAATACGTATTCTTACAGAAATTACGTCTTCCTCTGTCCGATATTCTGGTAGCTTAATTAAAGTCTGCTTCACTTCGGTACTTAATTGTCGCTTGTAAAACAAAAAGGATGGTTATATGAAAAATATGTTAATTTTATTGTTGTGGTAAAAGTGAAAAAATTGATGAGAGAATAGATAATTTGTTTTTTTAATACATGGCAATAGTAACGAAGATGATGATCGGTACCTGTCCTTTTGCTTTGAAGTAACTGGCATCAAAGGCCAACTCTGAGCTCTGTTTGTCGTCCTCGCAATTGTAACCGAATTGAATGGCAATGTTTCTATTCCTGTAAAATATAAATGGCAATATTTTAACTTTTTATTAAGCTGATTTCGTGCTTCAACTGCAGACAACAAAGTCGAAAGTCTACCATGCCATACCTAAATCTGGGTACACTGCACCGACGATTGTCGGCCGATTCGATTTCCTGCCATGAAAACGCAACGTGCAGAGGCGCGCGTTGATCTGCCTATGTTTACAATGACGAATTGCTCATAGTGTCTCTGACACATAGCAGACGACATGGCGACGTCAAGCGCTCACATGGATTCTTTGACCGGCACACCGTGTGCCCGGCTTCAAAGATAAAAGCTGGTAAGTAATAAGGCTTTAAAATATCACGGTATTCAACTCTAAAAGCATGCGTTTATATACGCTTAGCTTTAGAATTTACACAGTCATAGGGGCGGATCCTGAATGTTTCTGGCGGGTGGATGGGAATGGGCGGGAATTAGGTAGGCATCACTCGAGAAACCATTGCTCGAAGAGACATTCCTTTCCCTGTTGTGAGGGAAGCAGGGTGACGTTTTACCCATTGTATTCTCTTATCTAACGATTTCGCGCCTTGTGAGAGAACATTTGCTGGTGCCGAAGTTGGGAAGGTGAGCACCCTCTTGGCACGCCTTGATCTGCCTATGTCATGCGCAAGTAAAACTACAATCGGAAGTCCTCATGCTCCAAAGATGAGGGATTGCTTTGGGGGGGGGGGGGGTGGAAGAACAAGAGAGAAAACGGTATTATATGGAACAATGATAACAGTGAAATTTTGTTGTTGAGTGTGAAATGAAAAATGTATATAACTAGATACTAACTTACCGGTTTGGATTAGCTGTAAGAATGATTTGCAGTTTTCTAACTGCTTTTCGAAAACGTTCCAAACTCTGAAATCAAAGAGAAAAACTAAAGTAAGCCTACATATTATATACTTCATATTGAAGTAACACTATATAAGGTGTGGAAGTATCAGACACCATATGGTTCTTTTTCCTGTTAATAAGATGTTAAGAACATTAATAATTATCTATACATTAGGCCACCTTACGACCTGAACAACATAAATAGGCCTACGCACCTTTAATTTCTGTTCTTTGCGATTTTTAGAATTGCTGCCCACTAAAGATGTTGATGATAATTGACCAGGCCAAGTTACCTGAGCATTGCGCCTTCTACTTCGATTTGCTAATTCAAATGTCATGACTTAAACAGCTTACTTTTTGCGATTAAAATTCAAGCGTTTTAGTGATAGGCCAGTTATTGAATCCACCAAAATCAGTAAATAGCAAGACATTGATCGCCTTCTCCCATCGGTAACGTGGTTAGAAATGTTAAAAACTCTTGAAACATAGAATATAATTTTGGTTTCCGTGGTTTCACTTGCATGCCGTAAAAATGTAAAAATTAAGACAATAGAAATATCCTTGATGATTACGCGAAATTGCTCAAATCTGTTGAATGACGCAATATCATTCAATACATCACTACAAATATGCATTGTTTGTATGTATCTCAGTGTTTACTATATCAAGTGCTTGTAATATTTACTCTGTAGATAATCTCTTAATGAAGGCCGGCTTTATATGCAAACATGACATTGAAGAATATAAGAGCAGTGGTAATGTTTAAAGTATTTACTGAAATCGAGATATCAAGAGCTCCATTGTTTATGGCGACTGCTAGTTGTACTAATGGCATTGATTTCTTTCACTCAGTGTGTCCAGTAGCTTATTTAGCGTGACGTAGGCCCTACTGAAATAATTTTCCATAGAGTGAAGAAGCTTGCATACATAATTTGTGCTTGGTTGTCTTTGAATAGGCCAATATTAATGAGGGAACTAATCACATTTCATGATTTTCTACGCCTTAATTCAGTGCGGCGCTCATAAAAAAAAATATTGGCGTGGCGCTCCCCATGCACATTCCCACGTTAAAATCCTACGAAATTCCGTAATTCGTAGGCCTATCATAGGTCCTACATAATCGCAAATAAACACTGTATACATTGTATTTAAAACCCTGTTTCATTACACACAGGGTAATGTTAGGCTCCGTTCACACCTATGGTTCACACTAAGAAGTTGCTTGTGACGGTATGTGACTTGCCAATTGATATCATGTATCACAATCGGGCACTAATGATGTTAAATATGCTTAAATAAGCTCATCTTGTTTAACGTCTCCTAATATAATATAAATTCGAAAATTAAATTTAATTTGTTTATTTTAATAAATGTTTAGCTTTTAACTCAATTTAATAATAATAATAATAATAATAATAATAATAATAATAATAATAATAATCGACTTATAGAGCGCATGTAGACCTATGCGCTTAACATACACATGCACAAACGTACCAAGAAAATACTGCAATATTAAAATCTAACCGCATAAACAAACTAATCCTATTTCTTAAAATAAGCATGGTTTGGCCATTGGTTCCGAGGAGCTCATCCGTCCCTTTTTTCAGCTTTTTTTTTTTTTCACCCTTTGTTCAGCTATTTTTTTTTTTTTTTGCTGCTGGGTGACCATTCACCCTCACCCAAAGGTCGCTAAGGCTTTAGGTGGGGTTGCCAGTTAGTCGCCGGTTCGAGTGGATGCATTCTAACGTCATACACATAATTTCAGTTCAAAAGTCGAATTGAAATGTTCTTAAAATTCTACTTAAACGAGTGCTCAATATAAAAATACAATACTAGAAAATAATTAAAGTAGAAGATTTGTAACAATCTGTGAATTCGTTCCGGTCTCATCCCTAATAAGTAATGCTTGGTATACAGACAATAGAATAATAACCAGGCTAAACATTGCCTCGCCTCTTGGCACACCTACTAGACCCTTTGTTTTTGCAGAACATTTCACACGTTCAGGTTTAACACTTATCCTAATAGCTAACACTATTACATTTTTAGTCAGAGCATGCGTTCTATTCCAGACTCATGAAAATGTTATCGTTGTTAAGAAGTTGTAAAACCCCAGACTGAGTGTACATCACGTAATACCTTAGGCCTAACTTAAAATTAATGAACCATTATCCGCATGCACCAACGTGATCAATACTCAATACGGGTGAACAATAATAGGCAAGGATTTATCACAATAAGTTATGGTCTCGGGATCAATACCACCAATTAAAAACTATCTGGACTTACTTATTTAAGTACTATAACTTATTCTAAGCAAAGCATTATAATAGACCTCAGACTTAGTAAGGGAACGAACCAGAAAGCAACACAGGAAACAACTTGTTTTCATCTTTTAAAGTTGAAATAATAATCTGAACATTGACAAGTGCATGACTTCAGACGGTTTACGACGCAAAAATTTCGGTATATCTGGTCTTATTAAACTTGATATTATCGCAGAGGTCTAAATATTTAGGTCTTGCAAGTCTATATCAGTACCAAGAAAGAAAAGATGTCAGGCAGGATAAAAAATTCAAATTCAAAGGACAGTCTACATGACTTGTCTCATGATAGGCTAAAGCACAGGTGAGTTCCATATCTTTAACATGTCTACAATCACCATTCATTCATTTCTCTGGCTCTATTGTTCTAGGCTTGATGGAATGAATACGTATTAATATGACGACCATCACACTTTAAACACTAGTGAATTGAAGATAGCATGGTTACACCATGGACTTATTTACACTAACCCCTGGTTACACAATGTACATCCGAGTTAGCATGCCTATTGGAAACATTGCTCTGATTTTCATTATGCGTCATAATAGAAGAAATCTTGAGAATATAAATAGCACCTAATGTATATAGACAGTCTAAAAATGGAAACATTAAATCAGAAATGTTTTGTGCGAGCCAGATTAGTTGTAAAACTTAAGAAAATTTAAAACGAGATGTTGGTTATGATTAATTGATTAAAAAATTGTACTACCCGAAAACAAGTTTATAGTGTTATGAAACCTAAACACATAAGGTAGAGTGTAATATTTTAAATACTTAGGCTGTTACAGTAGTTAATATTGTTCATGCATAACAGCAATTTATATACATCTATGTAATGGGCGCACGTTATGTTCCGGTCATATTATGTATAGCGAGAATAATCGTATGTTCAGTTCAAGATGAGGAAGTTTGCAGGAATGACCGAAATATTCGTTTACAAATAAATGTGTTTATGTTTCAGAAAGACGTCTGCTCTTGTTTCCCGTCACTAGTGACTAGTCTCACTACATACATATTAATCATAAATTGCAAACACACATAAGCCTAAATAATATATACATACTATAATAAATTGTAGTTAATATTGTTCATGCATAACAGCAATTTATATACATCTATGTAATGGGCGCACGTTATGTTCCGGTCATATTATGTATAGCGAGAATGATCGTATGTTCAGTTCAAGATGAGGAAGTTTGCAGGAATGACCGAAATATTCGTTTACAAATAAATGTGTTTATGTTTCAGAAAGACGTCTGCTCTTGTTTCCCGTCACTAGTGACTAGTCTCACTACATACATATTAATCATAAATTGCAAACACACATAAGCCTAAATAAAATATACATACTATAATAAATTGTAACTATAAAATAAATCTGTTCCACATATTTGTCTGTTGTTAAACCCTTACATTTACATTAGTTTTTATCTTATCTATTATTTCTGTATCTCAACCGAGAACGTTACCCACAGGAATATTTTTTTAGTATTTTGCCACTAAGCTGAGTCAATTCCAGACAAAATATGTAATACGTTTATGTTATTCACTGACATATTAAGGTGCTGGTGCTAAATCTACTTTTAATGATACTTAATAAAATTACTTAAATTATCATTATAGACGATCTGCTGCTGTTTGGATTCCACATGACGAAGCAAAAAAGAAGTTAGGTGGTTCAAGCAAAGGACTCAGAAGAAGGACCACCTCTAGTCTTCTGGAAGGGAAGCGGGAACCTTCACCGCGAGATGGAATCTACCTGACGGTAAGAGAAACTACTATTAAAATAGAATTTTCTTCATATTCTTTCTACCGTTCATCTTACCAGCGAAGCAAGCTGCCGAACTGAAGTTTCCGAGAGTCCACATAGGACCTACCCCGCAATTTTGTAGTTACTTAAGACTAAAATTTATTTACAATACTTAGTAATAATACATGTCTTCCTCCAATTAAAGACCACATTTTGGACCAGGGTTTCCATGGTCTCTAACAGCTTTGGTTTCTAATTTGAATAATATAATAAAAGACATCTTCTAATAATATGGGACCACAGAAAAGTGGTCTTTAAATGCAGGAATCTTTAATTAGAGGGATACCACTTTTACTCTGCTCTACATTTCAGCCTTACCAAAGGTTTCGGCGAAAAGCAAATGCGGTAAGATGGTTGTGCAAAGTGTGTATATGTGTCATGAAGGCAGCATCAGAGAACGCGTTGAAGGGCAGTCTACTGGAGGTGATCGAGGATGTAGTGTTGTCTGCAGAAGAAGAAGCCCGTCGTACTGGCAATTCAGGTCTTCTTCAAAAAGGCATCGTGAGCTCAGCCTACCCAGATATGAGGTTTGATGCTTCAGAGTTTCAGCGATTTTCCAAAAGAGAGGTAATACTGGATTTATTCACATCTCAATAAAATTGTATCTAATCGCTTCTGACATTGACTCACTTCGAAAAACGAATTGCAATAAAATGGTTATAATATTTTTTTTAACATCTCTTTAAACCTGATTGAACATTAACTAATTCCAACTGGGCTCCCAAACATAAAACATAACTAAATCATGAACATTAGAGTAATAATACCAAAGAAAATATGATTAAACACGACATCTTCATTTAATAAAAAAAAAAAACTTCAAAAGAAATAATAATTGAATGACAAGTCATAAATATAGACCGAAGCAATAGATCGACAAAAAATGCAACTCATAACAAACGACATCTTCATTAAATAAAAACACCTGTATCATCACTTATTTTGTTTTCTTATAATTCAGCATCATCTTGAAAAAGATCAGCACACCGTTTTCATCACCGTCCTCAGATTACAATTAATCATCAACATAATCAATCGGAACAGCAGCAATAGCAACATCCATCATCATCAGTTACATCATTAGCAATCAATCAATCAACCAATTATCCAGTCAGTCAATAAACATAACCAACATATATCATTATTCAATCAACCAATTTAAATACGACCTATCAATCAATAACCAGACAATAGTAGCATCACGAAAAACAACAACACACCATCATTCACAATCACGTGATCATCAATATTCGTACGCTTAACATTAACACATTTCCAAAGACATTTCAGTTTTTGCATGCTAAATATGTTTTTTTATTCTACTTCACGCAATATGCACACTTTATTCAATTCTGCATCACAGGCATTACATTATTTTATGAATTTCAGGAAGGAATTCCAAAGAAGATAAAGGAATTACTGAAACTTCAACCGGAGGATAGGACAACAGAACAAATTGATAATGTAAGCAATGAAACTATTATTTCATGTCACTTTATTTCACTTTATTTACTTGTATTCACTAATCACAAAATCCTAACAAGTGCCAGGAAACGAGAAAGGAGGAGCTCGAAAGGTGGAACTAAACTTAAGCTACAGTAGATTAGATTACGTAAATTATTTTTACAATATAGATTTAAACGATGATTTTATGAAACTACTTTTATATTGATGTTTTTTAATGTTTTAATGTGCGTCTGTGGTTTCGTTGTTTGGCAGATCAATAGAGCTGTTTATATTTTGATACTGACCTTTCAATTGAGAATGATTCAACAGTTTAAATATCAGGACACAGACTTCTATTGAAGATAATCGTAGAGTTTGACGTGCTATTGCTACAGCATTCATAGGTTACCATGTTTTGGAAGTTTAAATAAAAAATAGAATAGCAATCGAATTAGATCCTATGATTTAAAGAAGTGTTTGTACAAATTTATTATTTATTGCAAATATTACTTTCAATAAATAGTAAGTATTATATGTTGGAAAGCGGTAAACGACATCATTTTCTACATTTCTTTAGATTGTTCGCAACATGCAAAATGTTGAGGAGTTTGCTAAATATCCTCCAGAAATTCAATGTAAAATGTCCGAGTTTGCATGGTACGACAAGTAAGTGAAAATCATTTCTCTATTATTAATGTTTACAATAAAGTAAAGTGTCGATAAGTATTTAAAAGGCGTTTTGAAGCAGACGTAGTTTATCAGAATGATAAAAATTCTTACGTCATTATTAAAAGACCAATGCTATTTGAAACAGAGAAAACAAATTGAGACAATTGTCCAAAGTTTCTTTCGAATCTTTGAATACACATGCTTTGGATGAACACGCATGCTTATATGGTTAATATTGTATCGAATTTGTTTCAATTAGATTCGGTAGAAATCGTGTCGTCATAAAAGAGGGATATGTAGCGGAAGGTCTGTACATCGTGCTGTCGGGAGAACGTGAGTGGATTTAAAAACAATAAGCAATGCCAAGTTTTTGCTTACGCAGCATTAGTGGGGGCGCACTTCAAATATAAGTTTTGGATAAACGTGTGTGTGTATGTGTGTGTGTGTGTGTGTGTGTGTGTGTGTTTTTTTTTTTCCTTTTTTAAATTTTGGGGGGTTTTTTCTTCATTTTTGTTAGTAAATAGTTAGTATATATTGTGTGTATTATCTCAATCATAGATTTTACTATGAATATCAATGCACCAGCAAACAACCAAATGGTGATACTTGGCTTTAGCAAAATACAAAATAAAAATGAGAAGCCTCCCTCCCTCAATTTCCCAGCCTAGGAGGCTGATAAACTAGCTGAGAAATCGATAAAAACCTAAGGCGATGTCCTGTTAATATTAGGACTAAAGTATTCTATATCGTGTAATATCTGAAAATTATCGTAAATTACTTAACTCAAAAGTACAATATTCATATGTATTTACTTCTGTAGTAACTGAAACGTTTGGTGGACAAACGTATATACTGAAAAAAGGAGATAAATTTGGGGTAAGTCTATATCATAACGTTCTTTCTATAACATTACAATAAAGTTATCTTCATTAATCGTATACCGTGTGTTCGCCATCAAGCAATATAATATTATATTTTCAGTTCATCGTACTTAATGCACTAAAAAGAACGTGTAATAAGTGCACTGTTTCCTTCACAGGAAAGTGATATTATACGCAACTGCAGACGAACAAATACAGTCATGACGAAAGATACAGTGGAGCTGTTCTGCATCCACAGCGAGGTACGTCCCACGAGAATTGCATGTCCATTAGTAATAAGCAGTAAACAAAACGATTCAGACAAAACGCATTCAACGCACGAACCCAAACGCACTTCACGTACAATCGCGTTTACATTGAGTGTTTGGGCTTCACGTTTAATTACGCACTAAAGTAGGCCAGGACGACACGTTGAATTTCATCGCACTGATTACAAAGAATAGGCTATAAGCGATGTTCAGTGATTAATCTTTTCTTAAATAGTCCGAGAAGTGTACGTCTTTATAAAACATCATAAGCAACCTTAACGCCGTGTTGTAGTTTACTGCATTTATGTAAGGCCTAACCTTAGATAACCTAGTTATGAAAGACGCATTTAATATTAATAGTAAGGCCTAAGTACTCAGTTTTTCGTATTAGAACACTTACCAATCACTATATTATTTTAAGGATTACATGGAAATATTCGACACAAAGCTTAATATTACTCCAGGCGATGTCATGAATTATGTCAGGTAGGTGTTTTGATCTACATTTATGATGCAATTATATTAACAAGAGAAAAGAGAAAAGTGTTAACAAGACCGTAGAGTTTTTAATAGTGCCCTCTCGCGGTCAAAAAGAATGAGTTCGAAGAGCAGGCAGCATAAGGTTCTGTCCACACATGGAGAAATAAAGAACTCGAGGGTCCACGCTCAAATTGTATACAGAAACATATACAGATAACTTTTATTGTCACAAAAATACAAGGTACAATTACGAAACTTACCGTCCGTATTGCGAATTTAGTCCAGTACATAAAAATGTAAAAATATTAAATAGCACATATCACAAAAACACACTTCTAACTTCATGAAATCTACATACAACATACATTTATCATAATTTCCTCTTCAATATTTTCCGAAGGCAGAAAAGAGTTCCTAAACCTTCAAGTTTTATGTCAAAAGTTTGTGTGATGTGACCATACATAAGCATGATGATGTCATTTTACATCCAAATATGGGATCACATTTAATTGTCGCATAACATTTGACAGCAGCATAGACAGAGAAATGCTATTACTTAGTATAGGCCTTTTGAAGTAAAATGGTTATACATTCAAAAAAAATGAGAAATATTGACAATGCTTTCCTCCTGAAATTATAACTATACTTTTACATAAACTGGATTCTCATAGACACACTTTTATTAAAATGCTGAGTTTTATTCATTCCATGATTGCATTCTTATTCTGTCTTTTTTCTTTTATGTACAACTCACGCATTGAGAGCTTGCTTAAATGCGCTAAATAAGAATGAACTATTATTTTGTTATTATTATTATTATTATTATTATTATTATTATTATTATTATTATTATTATTATTATTATTATTGTCTAATTTAGGCCTAATAATGCCTAGGCACATACTATTATTATTAATAATTATACTGCATCAAGTTATTAATTGTTTTTAACTCCGAAAACAACTTAGGACGATCCCTGTATTCAGTATGTGGTCTGGAATTGGTAAAATGGTTGATTCGTTACTAAACTGGGGCATACAGAATTACAGGTAAGTCAATTACGGGCATGTGTAGTTCAAACTACGATTTGGCTTGTTACAAACACGCTCATGCGCACTAAGTGTTACACAAAACAACAGAAGCACAATGATGTCTTATCATTATCATAAATGCGCTCTATGAATTTATTGATTTATAGATCGACTAGTAAGCCAATCCGTAGTTTGAACTGCGCATGTCCGTATCAAAGGTCAATCGACGTCGAAACCTACGGTACGTTGTGTGTAAGTTAGATTGTAGGCCGGGAGGGCAAGGATGGAACTATTCCTCGGCTTTTAACCAACCAAATGGCTGGAATCTCTGTAGTCGGTATATAATACATTATAGGCCCTACCTGTTATTATTTTATTTTTTTTGTAAAACTTACAAATGGTGCAGTTCGGGTCGAGTCGAGTGGCCGAGCGGTAACGAAGGGGCTCCCTCATCGCCCAGGGTTCAGTTGGTTGAACCACTTCTTCTTGCATAAGGACTTAAAACCGGGGGGTCTGTGTACACATCTGACTCGTGTACACTTTAAAAATCCTATTGCACCTTTCGGAAGAGTAGGGACATACCACGATGTTATGGTTCATTTCAGGCGCCCCTGTTGTTGTGGAATGAACATACGCTACGGTACCTTATGCCTCCTTATGCATGCTACAGTTAGTCCATACGCAATTCAGCACAATGACGCTGCGAGTTATAGTTTATTCTCCTACTCTTAACTTTGGAACCCTATGTGAAAATGTCGAAATAATGTCTTACATATATAAATAAAATGTACAGCTCTTGATAATATTAGTAAGAAATATTTGAAGATTTTATAAAACGATCTTGTCCTCGGTGACAATTATGACAGATGGACTCACAAATGACAAACTGAATGGCAAATTGCAACATATTGTAGAAGATTAAGTTTCATTCGTAATGAATCTGTTATTTTTCATAATTTTTTTTTGAGAGCTGCATTGAAGAAACATTCAGAACTAACAAGAAATTCTGAGTGCAATGCATGTTGCTTTTTATCAGATTTTATATGTTTCTTTTTTTCTTTACAATTCAAATTGACAAAAACACTTGTTTTGAAGTTGTCCCTTAACCTATATTCTTTAAATGACACTTTTCTTGATTCGTTGACATTTTGTCACTGTTGCCTCTTAAGTTCATGTTTATTCTTTCGTTAAGATTGATTTTTTATTTGCAATTTTACTATTTTGTTGAACTTGCTGTAAGACCCCACCCCTTTCAGTTTATGATTGACGCCGTTCTTAAGCTGAAATGTCGCCATAAATAAATATTATGGAGGCACGCGTATATTACATGTCCGTCTGCACGTCGTACGGCCAACAACTCGAACGATATTATTAAAGATATTATCAACATTATTATGCCAATCAAATTCCAACTTTGCCATCTAGTTTTAATGTATTGAGGCCTATAGATAACAACTTCACGAGATTCGGACGTCTTAGTTACGGAAGACAAGTTTAAATATTGCTCATATTACGTTGTAAGTCATGACTCTATTGGTGAAAGAATATCGCGGTTTCGATCAGCAAATTGCTACGTTGGTATAAATGTGACTTTTGGGGAAACATTTACCACTCCTAATTGTACTGATTTAAAACAATCAGTAATTGTTCAAAGCCGTGTTAAGTACCATAACATTACTTGCTTAGTTCATCTAACCAGATTTACTCCATTTTGTTTCCATCCCAAGAGCAGGGCAAGTGATCGTTTCAGACAGTGAAAATAACGACTGGATTTACATCGTCAAATCGGTAGGTGTAACAAAAACAGCAAATCATTTCCACTATGATATTTTATTGAGGTATTATAACTCTCCATCTGACCTATGGTAAAAAACAAGGTCGACCAGCGCGCATGTAATTGATCAATTTCAAAGACAGAAACATGAATAAGGTTGGCGGACGAAGAGGTTATCAAGCATATCTCATGCTAGCAACTGAACCTCAGTCAGCATACACTATTTCATATATTATTTGATCATACTTTGTATGATGAGGTAGAGCAATGCTCAACATTAATGGAGATAAACAGACAAGCATTTTTGTTTGATCAGATATTAGATACAGTATATATAGCTTTCGATTTCACGGGGTGGTAGGACGTAACGTAATGACCGTCACTAAGAAGTCATCTGCGCATGCGAGAACGTTTGAGTTTTCCTCGTCGCGTACATTCTAGGACGCAATTTGGCCAAATCTACGTTTTGCAGGAAAAGTATGCCTATCTTAATATTGATAATAAATTAAAAGTTGTGATGGCACTTAGCGTTCAATTCATGTCGAAACCTAATACAATATTTGTTCACTTGCTTCTTTTTTTCTGCATAGGCTATGTCTATTTTTGTAGATTAGGTTCAATTTAAATTCATATTATATTCAAAATTATTTGCTGATTAACAATTCCCTGGATTTCATATTGTAGTTTGATTTATATTACATTGCTGTAAATAAATATATAAGAGTACGACATTATCTAAAATAAATAAGTTCTACACGAAGAGTCTGGAAGACTGATACAAGAAAAATTACCATTACGAGAAGTCGTCATATAAATACCACGGATAATACGAATCCATCTTCTCTTGCATATAGTGTAATTATTCACGTATCATATTAGTATGGGAGTTGAAACTCTGGAATCTTAAAATTAATCATAAATATTTAACTCCGGGTTGAGCGGGATGTATAAATCACGTCAACAGTTGTGTTAAAGCGTTTTTTGCCAACGTTTGCAAAACGCAATTAATCGATGTCATGTCTTCGTATAGGGTAAATGTGATGTACTGAAGCGACTTACCCCGGGAGTCTGTAGTTTAGACGAAAGTAGAACGTTCTACAAACAGTACAAGAAATCCCAGAATGCTTTAGAAATCAAACAAATACACGAACAAAGCAGCCTAAAAGTAAATCTTCAGACAGGATCTAAAGGTTGGAATATTATAATATGTTCATGTATAATGTTTAACAGTTGAATACTTGGTTATAGCATACAGTTTTAGGCCTATGATCTTTCAAGAACTGATGCCCTAAGCTCTACGCCTGTGAATGACTGATAATGCGCGTATTCCCTTTTGTACGCACGTGCTAAATGGCACGCTTAATGCATCAGTTTGTGAAAGAGCCACCGTTTAAACATCGTCTTGCTGCAGCGATTATATTTTCGCCGGTTCACTTTTTTGAACACTTTTGTTTATCTAGATGCCTTTATAACCGTACCGTCCACCTGCTCACCATCCAGAGCCGGAACAGAAGTCACGAATACAATAATAAAATGTAATTCTTCACCACAACAAACGGCTTTAAACAATTCATCGACGTGCATAATTACGGTAGGCGTGTCTTTTACCATCAATATAATCTTTACCATTATCCATATTCACAAAACAATCAGTATAATAACGTGCTTATCACAACCATTGTTATCTAAAAGGAAGAGATACCAGCCTTAAAATCTATTCTTCAATTTCATCACCAAGGGCCATCGTCCTTATCCTTTTCTTTACTTCTTCTTCACCGTCATCTTCATCATTATCTTCATTTTTTATCGCTATTGTTTTTCATAAACCCGCTTCTTCTACTCCTTCTTTATGCTCGGAATTTTGGCACCATCTCGTACCCACCGGGCTTATAATATAGAAATTTCCGCTAAGTTCTGCTCTAATATTATGTTGCAAATGTCCCACATAAATGCCACAAGAGGTATATACCGGAAGCATTTTAACAGAACTATATCATAGGATTGTTGTTTTATATAGAAGGAGTATACCAAGAAAGGTTGCGGTCTAAACGTCCCGTTTTGTGTACGAGTTGCGGAGTTGGAGGCCGGCGATGTGTTTGTAAGTAGAGCTTCGATTTATGGATTAGCGTTCATTCTAAACACTTGTTTTAAAACTAAGTATGCCAACTTAAGCAAGTACTGTATTCAAGTATTTAATAAGGTGTATACTTGAACGTAACAAATACAAACGGAAATTAAGAATCATTTCGTTAAAGCACGTGCATCAAAGACGCAAGCCCAACGCAAGAGATGTTTGTTCATGAACGCGTCACAAACTAAAAAACAATATTTTTGTTATAATTACAAAAACAAAAACAATGACAATAACAAAAAACATAAAACAAAGAAATGTCTAATAGCAAACAAGTACAGTGCACCTCAATTCGAGACATCTCTTATTCTGAGACCTTATAATTCGAGACTATATTTTCAAAGAACCAATAACAATCTTCAATGTATTAACACTAAGCTAACCCTCAAGAAAACCTTGAAACCATTGCACATTTTTAGGTCCAAGAGGTGGAAAAAGTAAAAAATATAGATTTGCTCATGTTTAAATAATTTTATTACAATATTTGTCTAATACATTTTTTGTTGTTCAATTAGGGCCTTTTGTCGACAATACCGGGGAGCAAAGAACCAAAAGTAAGCTTGGTAAGTAGGCCTAAGTGTGGGATTATCCAAGAGGTCCAGGTGGATTATCGTAAGGCTTTGTTTTTCTACATTGCAGAGGAAATATAAAGGTTTTACATGCGCCCTCTACCAAACTGTATACACAATCCTTCTTTTTTGGAGGGCTTTGCTTTCTTATAACACTACCAGTGGACTTTTTGACTGTTTCCCAAATTAAATTGCTGTAAAAAAGCCAGTGGCCAAACTTCTTGATTCTTTTACATAATTATCTTGGCAAACATTAGGATTCGAAGAGCATTTTTAATCTCTAACTACTTATAAATGAAAAGTTACACTAAAAGTACCATAAATCATCAGTTCGACCTTTGGGGTATTTTATATCTCAGAAACCACTAGTCGTAGCGAATTGAGCTTTATTTTATACTCCAAAAAATGCCGTAAGTTTATAATAACCCGAATAGAAATGTTTTTCAAACAAAGAGATAGAACTTTGAAGAAAAAAAATCATTGTTTTGAACAACTTCAATGTTACCTTTGTGGCAGTTAAAACATCGAAAATACCTAAAGAATCCCAGAAAAGAAATAAAACTGTTGACTTTCAAACTAAAAATTGAAGTTGGAAATAGAAAGAAGAATTGACATCAGAAAGGTTTGGCTAAAATGGAATTCATGTCAACTGCCAAGAGTGATTCAAGTAATAAACTAGACAAACAGATTTGAATGCAATTTATATTACAGGTTAATATTAATTACAAACACAACATTTCTAAACATAGTTAATATTAAATGGATCATAAAGAGCACAAAATTGCTCTATATCATGGGTATTTTTACCTCCATAATGTTGCATGTTTAAACGCTTGTAACCTCATAACGAAATGTCGGATTTATCTTTTACCATTTTATAGCTCTCTTTTTCATTTTTAACCCTGTATTAATACACTAAAATTCGATTTTTGCGACGAGTGATTGGTTTGGCTTGACTTTACCACGTTTTTTACCTCCAAATTTATGACAAATAAAATGTAATTTTGCAGCTAACACCCACAGGCAGTATTTTTATTGGTGTTCAATACAGAATGCAATGCACATAAAGTTACCTATTATAAGATGGGTATAATCCGAACTTGATTGCATGTATATTTTTTTATATTTAATAAGAAAGTAAATCATTTTATTTAAATAATAATTCATCAGAATTACCGCAAATCCTTGTAATCCTGTCTATAGTTTAATACCGTGTTGTACCCAAGCAGAGAAGCCGACAGTTGAATCATATGAATTCAGTAAATGGGAAACTATGTACTTTCAAAATTTTAGAAATCACATCGAAAACAAATATCGGTAACGGAGCACGTTGATGTGACCCCGTATATGAACAACTAATTGGCGAACACATGAAGCATGAATCGACGAATCAACATGCCAAATAAAATATTTAATCTACACGTCAGCGGCGGATTCAAAATTGTTCAAAATTTAAAAAAAATGACAAAATAAGAAATTTCTACTCATTTTAGAGTCTAAGAGTGCCATTTTCGGCCTCTAAAAGTGCCATAATCATACATTTTCTTCCCTCAGCCTCAACCACGGTGGGGCTTAGGTAGTATATGCCCTCCATCTGTGAAAGTCCCTCTCTGGCCCCTTCTTTTGCAAATTCCTGGATCCGCCACTGCATGTACACCAGGCCTTACCTATTCGAACGGCAACCATTAATACAATTGTCTACATCTTCGTATGCTTAGTTGGCAGCCTATGATATTACAGAGTTAACAAAAACATATTTACTTTATTTTTACTTGTAGGTTAGTCAAGGAGCCGAAGCGATTCGCATCAATAAGCAATTTTTTCTGAAGTTTGCAGATGAGAGAGTGTTTACACAGATAGAAATGCGAGTAAGCATCTCTTCATTGATTTATATTTATCAAAACGTATTTGCCTAGGGCCGAATATAAACTTTCTTTAAATATCAGTGAATTTTAATGTTTTATCTTTGCAAGGTTCCTTCGCCACTAACGTGACTGAATAGATTGGCAACAACTTACCACAATCATTTCTTCGACTTGCAACCAACATTGCCGGCAAAAAGACAATTTTTTCCATCAATTCTAATGTAATAGAAGGAGCCTTCTATTCCCCTGAAATATTAAAAAAAATTCAAAGATTTGACTGCTATTTCAGTCACGGAACTTTTATCTAATCTACGGCAAATTTATCAAATTGGTAATTGTTTAAAATAAGTTATGTTCTTCTACTAATTTTGGGTTATCCTGATCAAATGGTATTTTTATATTCTTTACCTTTTCGATCCTTAAATGTTTTGATGGGATTTTTATCGGTATCGTTAATATAGTTTTGTTTAGCACGGCTTAACAATTACGTCACATTTTATTCTTCCTGGCTGTTTTACTGTATTTATTGTCTTGTTTTATTATTTTTATTGCACCTGCCTTTTTAATCGTTTTACCGATGTATCTGGATTATAAAACTTTAAATTTGGGGTGAAATAAATGCATGATAGTAACTTAAAGTTTGTAAATAAAGAGTTAAAAACATAGCCTAAGATAAACGAATGACATTCGAACCATTGTCTACTGCTAGAACCTCGTAACAGTATCTACTACAAAGTTGAGGCCAATGATGATTGGTGAAGAGTTCTCATTCCTGAAACGGAAGTTGCTTGGGGATTTCATTTGCTTTGGTCATGTGAAAAAAATCACGTTACCCTGACAATAATTGAACTGAGGTCCCCCTAGGATTGACAGGCAAAAAAAGCATATAGTACTTTACCACCATGACAGCTTCTAGTTGACTTACTGTAGGCCTACTAGGAAATTTGGATTGAGACATGAAGACCAGCCCGGGAACCACAGTACATCACCAAATCTAGTAATGATTTGGGGACAATAAGCAAGGGGATTCTCAATTCTTTCAGTTGGGAGGTTTCGCAAGCTTACGAAAACGATAATGCGATTAGGCCTACACCATCAATTTCTTTAGTCAATCCATCACCTACCATAGCATATCTTTCACAACGTAGGCCATCCCTGCCGTTCATATGAATCAATGATTATATTTAACTCGTATATGTATTGTAAAAAATGCTTTAGGCAAGAATGACGATAACGAAAATGACGTATTCGTTATCGTTAGCATGCAAAATCTCCCTTTTTTCGTTTTTCAACCTGAATTTGTCATGTTGTATACGCAGCAAAACGCAATATTTCTATCGAAAAAAACGGGTAAATGTATAAGCCCTACTGTATCAAGGAGATCAGCTCCAGCTTGCTTAAATGGAACCAGGACACACAGTTCAATATTATGGTTCAGCGTACTTCTACAGTAACCAACTACCGTACCAGTTCTGGCAAATTGCTCTCGAGATGTTAATCAAGATCTCCATCGTCTCTTGGGTCTAGCTTAATTGGACTTCTAAGACTTCTCGACACTTGCCTTGTTACATTAGTTTCATTTATTTGTTATCATTATTGTAATTTTTGTTAGCCAATGTCTTAGGGATGAGAAACAGTTCAAATCGCGTTCAAAAAAGTCAATAGGCTATTTGTATCCTCTTAGTAAACGAACCATTTTTACTCCTATTTAGTAATGTTACTGGCAAAACAAAATTTTAGGGTCAAAACATAAATGCATTTAGCCAAGAGTGCGTCGACCTATAGTATTGTAGTATATATATATTTTTTTTTAATTTATTTTTTTTAAATTAAAATGATGTCCTGAATGCCTACTGCAATGTTTTTCATATATAAATGTTGACTGCATCATTTATAATTAAACATTTTGATACGTCAGAATGAGAAAAAGAAGTCATGTATAACTATTGACCAAAACCGCATCAGTACAACAATAGATTTGATGTTTCACTAGAAATCCCACCAAATAAAAGAACTTTAATTTTCTTTCAGTACGAAGCTTACCCAAGCCAAGACGACTGTCTTAGTGTTCTTGATATGACGAATAAGTGGCAGCGATGCAAAAGCAACGAGCTCAGCAAAACCGTCGATGAGGTCCATAACAGAATTCAGGCCAGAAAAGATTCGAGACGATAAAAGTAAACAAAATCAAAGTTTGAAGATAAATAAGCATATTTCATGATGCGTCTGCGTATAAATGAGTATAAACATAGAAATAATAATAAGCCTATAATAATCATTTTATTATATAACTACCTTGTGTAAAAAGTGCTCGAATATATGAAAACATGATAATAGATCAGGCATATCCCACAAAAGAAAAGTTCGTTATCAATTGTATCAATTCTCGCCAAGATTCGAACAAGCGACCTCAGCTTTGAATCCCTCGATATCAGAACCTTTAGAAAACGGACACATTTGGTATTGTCAGAAATTTAATACATACAAATAGATTTAATATTTCATTATTTATGTGTTTGAAAAGTTTGAAATATTGAATCATAATCAATTGTTTTTGGAACTTATTTCATACTACCTAATGTGAAACTTATCGGCGAACCCCAGTTTCTACAGGCCTATATAAATTAAGTGAAGTCATTGGATGACGAGGAGGACATTATTACTTACAATTGTGATGTTATTGTATTCCAAACCTTTAGTTTGACATTAAGTTTTTACATCTATAGAGAATATTACTCGAATTGTAAAGAAAACAACATTTTCATTCCTTGACTGCCAAAATTCGGAACACCCTATCAGAAATGCACAGCATTCCGTCGTCACCGTGCAATATTTCTAAACTAGATTTGATGAATTTCTATTGCTTCTCGTACACAAATGTATATTTCAATGAATTTGTTATTCTTACAAATGCCAGTTTAAGTTGTTTATGCTACTGGGACTTGGAAAAACAAATTTAATGCGCCGAGTGAGTAATCATATTTTGTATAATAGTTTCAATTTATCTATTGTATTATATACTGAAGTAGATAATTAGAAGCTCCTACATTTTGTGCAATTCAATACTAGAATCACAGATTTGTCAAGTTTTGATTTTGTTTTGTTTTGGTTTTGTTTTTCCTGGACGCACCGTTGCTTACGTGTGTCGTTTCCAAATAAAGAGTAATAGTACGGTATATTACGCCTGAGGTAGAAAGAAGCACGCCATATGACAGTAAACATTGTTTGTTTATTTTCGTAAAATGATGTTTATTTGTGTTTATATCTTGTGTTATAGTGAATCGAAAATTAATTGATAATATACATTATTCTGTATCTCCGTAAATCATCAATGATGAGCTTGACGTGTCATGAATTGTTATATTAGAAGTGCTACAGTATGTTATATATCTCACAAATCGATGTTTGCCCTTATAGTACCGAATGCCCAGTATGTGCCAAAATGCTTGCAAAAAAAAAAAAAAAAAAAAAAAATATTTAAAAAAAGGCAAAAAAAAAAAAAAAAAAAAAAAAAAAAAAAAAAAAAATCTTGCAAGTGATGCGGGTGGTAATCGAACCAACTACCTCCAGACATGGAGGTATAAATAACTAACCTGGTGTCTTAAGTACTCGACCACGATCGAGCTTGAGTAAACGCAAGGAAGTTACCTGAAGGTCGTGGGTCCGAATCACGACATGTTTTTTCGCAAGCATTTTGGAACGTACTGAGTATTCAGTAGTGTAACACGTCAGGTAGCCAAACATTGATTCCTATTCTTTATCTTGAAGCAAAAATTCTTTATCGGAATTCTATATCTTTTTACTTACGTTATTCTGTTTTGTATCATATAGACTTCGTTTCCAAAATATATATTATTGAAATATTAGACAAAACCACTATATGAATCCTCCTTTTTCTGAGTTCATATAATAGGGCCTATTTAAAATTTATAATAAAATAATGAATGAAAATCTAGTATTAGAATAAAAATGAAACAAAAAAAAAATATGCAAAAGTGCAAGTTATTTACGGTTAGGCCTATTCTCCATCTGAGAAAACTGTCAGATGGAGAAACAGTGGGCCTTTTCTTTAAGCCTACCCTTTGGATGTTGATGCTAATGTCCTACAAAATAATAGCGTAAATGTACGTAAACATGTACGATAACGTGCTTGTTAGACACACGCGCGCGTGTGTCTAACAAGCACGTTAGACACGCGTGCTTGTTAGACACACGTGTATTCCTGGCCAAGCACTGATTGTTCAGTTAAGTGTGATTGGCCTGCTGCAAGAATTGGGAAAAAATGCAAAATTTAAGAACTTTTTAACGGTATAAAATTTCAGAATTTTATGACGGTATAATATTTTATATCTTAGGATGTTTGGCAAACACTTTACCTTTAAGGTAATTTAAGGACGTGATATAACACACAGAAAAAAAAAACCAGAAACACAGTTACAATAAGTCACTATGTACATTCATATATTAAACTATAAAAACAAATGGAGGATTAATAAACAATGCCATGGATACAATGTGATGTTAACTAGAAAAATTTACTTACTTAAATCTTTGTCATTTGATTGGTTAATTAAGGGTCACTACGTGACAGTACATTACTGGCACTGCTTCATAAAAAAAGTGCATTGCTAACATTGCTTTTTGTTAAATTTTGTTTTATGCGCCAATGAATTGTACTGTCATGAAAGAGTTAAAAGAATGTAGGTCGAAGGCACACAAATTTTGAACTTTTGACCCTGCGAGTGCAACCTGGTTACCAAAATGACTGATTTAAATCTTTCAACAGATGTATAAAGTTAAATACATGTGCAGTATTAAATTACAAAAATAAGTGACTGTTTATATTTTTTCAGGTTATTTATCATATTAGTTCTTCTTTTCACAATTATTATACGCGATCTAGAACTGATATTCACATCCCTAATCACAACACAAACTATTTCCAACACAACGTTAGATATACGGGCCCCTTTATTTGGAACAATCTACCATTCTCAATTACCAATGCTGTCTCTACCAGAGCTTTTTCTAATAAACTGAAAAAAAACACATAATTTCAAATTATTAAATTTTTCTGTGGTTGAAATTCGTCATGCTGTTATGTATTGAGCTGCTTTTTCTCCCCTTTTTTTTCAGGCCTGACCCAACACAAGATGTTTGTTTTTGCAAACAACTTCTCGGGTCCTGGCCTTCGAATTTTTGTACTTTTTGTATTTTCAATTTTGTATTTTCAAGTGCCTTAGGAAGAAAATAAATGTTTTGTTGAATTGAATTGAAAGTATTTGTATTTCACAGTTTTTATTATATCAAGGAAACAAATTTCATGTTGACTTTTTGAACAAGATTTTTTTTTGTCTTATCTTATATTTGTGTAAGTATGGAATGTTTCTAATTTTAGTACAATTGGAATATGGAATAAATTCATAAAGTTAAAAAAGTAGTACTCGACTTGGCTATGCTCTCCTATATGGAATATTTCATCTTTCTCTATGAAAATATTTTCGCCTACACAGTGGCGGATCCAGAAATTTGAAATAGAGGTTGCCCAGACAGGAAAACAGACAGGTGGAGAGTCTAGACCATGTCAGTCCCACCATGGTTGGGGCTGATGTAGAAAAATTATGATTACAGCAATTCTAGAGGGCCGGAAATGGCTCTCAGACCTTAATTTGATTGAAATTTTCCTTTTCATCACTTGTTTTATAAGTCATAACAAATTTAGGGGGGGGGGGGGGGAGATGCCAACGGCTCAGCCCCTCCTTGAATCTGCCATTGCTATATTACTTTTAAAATATATGAACAACTTAAGTTACATATTAGGTGATGTTTACTTGTATACAATAGTTAAATAAACAGTTATATCAATAATATATTTGTGAGATAGTAGTTATGTTGCCAGCCCTCAATTCCCAGGTCTCTGGTTCAATTGTGCAAAGATGCAATTATTTTCTGACTGAAAACAAAATTTTCAAGCATCATAACAAAAATTTGGTATAGTAAACGAAAACCATCAGCTTTAAAAAATGTTTTTAATTTTTCCTCACACCAAACAGGAAGAACTCTTCATGAGAAAAGCATATTCTACAATCACAGGATTTGAACCAAGCATCCTGACAATTAAAGGCAAGCATCTTAACCACCAACACACAGTGTCACTACACCTTTGCTGGACGGATCATAATCATTAAAATATTTAATTATAATTACATCAATGACTGTTATTAATGATTATGATTGACATCAAAAATAATACAGTATTGCTTAAAATAAGTGCAATAATGACAATAATGATAATGTTAATATAATAATGATAGTAACAACAATAATACAAAATATTCCTTAAAAAATTAGTTTAATAATAATAATGTTAATATAATGATAATAATAATAATATTAGTATCAAAATTAATATTAATAATAATGATAATTGTGATAAGAATAACTATAAAAAATAATATGAAAATAATAATTGTAATAAAACTGCATAATATTGCAAATAGTAATAAGCTCAATTCAAACATATAATATTGATTGAAATATTAATAACACTATGTATATTGTACTTTCTTTTTTTGGCAAATACCTGGGGCAGATCCAGGGGAAAACGGAGGCTAGCACCCCCCCCCCTTCCCTCTTAAAAAAGACGGAGAGAATAGAAAGCGAAAAGAAAAAAAAAATGAAAAGAAAGGAGAAAGAGCACGGTAGAACAAAACAAGGTAATTTACAATATTAATTCCATGTACAAGCATTTCTAAAACAAAAATCTAAAAGCTTTGTGCTTCGAATGTCACATGGCTCCTACACAGATTTTGCTCTGGAAGCGCCCCTGCAAACCCTCATACTACTACTACTTTCAGTCAAGGTTGTTCAATCTTTTTTACCATTAACAGAAATCTCACCTAGAAAACTTACATAATTTTGCCATATGCATCACAGTGCAATGTCTACGTTTGTATACTTTATTACGCAAAGAAAATAAATCCACATGAACAGACAAGTGGAAAGATGTCTGAATGCTGACTAAATCAAAGCCCATTGTTTTTTTTAAATGACAGTTGGATTTAGCCATAGATTCATCATGTTCAACATGAAGTGTATGCTAAGACAGCCATGACGTCAGTAATTTAAATAGCAATCTATCAGTAAACCCAACGTGTTAAAGCTAAATCCAAACATAAATTCTCACATTTTTGTCTGTCAGATAAAAAAAACAAATATTTGATCAGACATCAGGTGTGTATAGTCTCTTTGTTTTGGTCTCATTTACTCTGGCATAATGTTATACACCCCAGTATTAAGTTCATGTCTGACAGACTTAGCATTGTTGTTTAAACATTGTGTGATAAAGTTAAGTATTATAAAAGACATCAGGGGTGTAGACTGATTTGTTTTGTCCTCATCTCGAATCTGGGATATTGGTACACAACATTATTAGTTCATGTCTGACAGACCCAGCATTGTTTGATTAAACACTGTCTGATAAAATTAAGAGTTCCAAAAGACATCAGGGGTGTAGACTGGTTTGTTTTGTCCTCATCTCAAACCTGGCATATTGGTATACAAAACATTATTAGTTCATGTCTGAGACTCAGCATTGTTTGATTAAACATTGTCTGATAAATACAAAATCTGCTTCATCTGATATGTCTGAAACAAACAATCTGTCAGTTTTTATTTTTTTCAAACATTTGAGTCAGTCAGTCTGTAGTATTGCATAGTGTCGAAGATCAAAGGTCATTACATTTTAAACTTCAATTGGTTGAGAACAGAAACAGTTGCAATATTGGAAGAACTTTCACGGTTGTGATGTCAGCTAACACGGCCTCGGCAGATGCGTACGACGACGTCTCCATCAAGTTGACACGACGAAATGAAAAAATACCCGCAGCAAGCACTATAGCAGAAGACAAAAACATTGAACAATTATTTTACAATGTTATCAAAAGTTCATAGCAATTTAAGATATTAATCTATTGTATGTAAAGCTCAGAACATCTTAAAGTGCATCTTGATACAAAGTGTGTTGCATTATTATTATACTAGATCACTGCCACCAACATATGGTGCATCTTGCAATACAAAAACATAATTAGTGTAGAGATAATATATATCTGGTTATTGATACAGAATAAAGATAGATTGAAAGGTATTACTACCATGAAGTACAGTACTACACAGAGGCAAAATTAACTGCAAACAACTAGAAAAAAAGTATATATAAAGTACATAAAAAAGAATATATAAAAAATATAATGAAAATAAATAAATAAAAATATAAATAAATATACATGTATAATGTTAAAAAATATACAAAATATAATGGATGATTAAGGACTGTTTTTGTTGAAGGCCTATACCTGATAGTGTATAAAATCATTTGAGGCGTGTTGTGGCAAAATGGCTAAGTTGTAGCAAAAATTGAAATTCAAGATATTGGTATTTTCAAATACCCGAGTATTTGATCTTTAAAATGAGGGGTCATTCATTGAAATTGGACATTTCAAGCCTAAGTTATTGGAAAATGAAAGTACAGCACTCTTAGAGTCAAGATAAACATGATTTTGAGTAATTGCCTTTCAAAGTTAATTGTGCATACATTGTTTAATAGCATTAACTATCATAACAACATTAAATAAATGATTTGTTGACCACTTTCAGAACTAATACTTTGGGACATGATTAACAAGACAATATACTGTTGATTTGTAGTGAAAAACAAATTTGGATTTTTCAGCAATTTTTTGAGCTCCCATATTTTAAAGATCATTTACTCAATACTGGCCTGTGCGACAACTTAACCATTTTGCCACGACAGGCCTCATTTGTTCCTATAGCTGTGCAGTTAGTATCACTGAACTTACCAACAAACAACAAAAACACAGAGAGGCAGTAAGACAGACAGCATAACATACAAACAAATATTATATGTAATTTATAATTGTATAATATCTTTTTAATGTGCATTTTTTATAGGCGTCCTTTAATTTTAAAAAAATTTAAATTGTACAACATAATAGTGTATTGTTTTTTTTTTGTAATTTTTTTTTTATTGTAATACAAACAGTTTTAGCCTTTGGCTATTATTTTTGTACATTTTATATGGTAATGAAATGAAGTTTAAAAAAATACATAGATAAATGAATACTGTATAAATAAATTTCAAGATTACACGGGGGCTAGACACTATGTTATCGTCTAGCAGTTAACCCTGTAAGATCGAGTAAATCCAGTATGGGTAATGAGTTAGAAGTAAGAAATGAATATAAGACCTGTCCTAGAAAGTTCACTAAAAAGTCACGAGAGTAAACAACACCACACATTTTCTGATAACCGAATCTCCACATGGAAAGTAAACATAATACCTGTACAGTATAAGGCAGTATAGGGCAAATACACATGGTCCCGCTGGGAGCTTACAGTATTTTTTCCTCTGCATGCTGTCAAACCATGAGGAACTCTCTCTAAGATATACTTGCCATAACATTTGTGGGTTGTGTCAAAGGTTATAGAACTATTTTAAAAGCATTCAGGGTTAGCATAAAGTTTCCTACTGCAAAATATCAACATGATAAATACAGTTTTAATACATGATATTATTCTTGTTAAATTTGTATCTTTGACAAGTTTGTATCCTTGGAAATTTTGTTTAGTGAGCCTCTCATAAAAAAAAATGCGCTATTAACTACTAATCATCAATTTCACCTTGGGCATATGTGCTTCCACATTTAGAGGTACAGTAAGAGCTTTGTATATACTATATACTATCTATACGCACTGTTTTAATGAGAAAAAAAATGTGATATGCCCATATTTGGGTGTAATATGACATCATCAAGCCTATATTTGGGTATAATATGACATTACTATGCCCATATTTGGGTGGAATATGACATCATCATAACCATATTTGGGTGCAAAATATGAGATCATCATGCCATATATGGGTGAAATATGACATCATCAAGGCTATATTTGTGTTTAATATGACATCTACATGTCTATGTTTGGGTGTTAGGCGTACATGACATATGTGGGTATATCACATAAATAATAATGTAAAATTTGATAGTATGGACATATCTTCATTTTAATATCCTACCACATCCCTAAACATCATCATTAAGTCTGCCAGGTATTACAGCACTTAATGGCAGTCAATCACTGGTATGGTTAAATGGGAATGCGAACTTAACCCAGTTAAAGTAGGTTTGGTTCACTGTTCTATTATTACATTGTTTGTCAATTATCTATCCTACTCTATATATGAGACACATTAATTTCAATGTATAAGGATAATATTATTAGCTAATGAATCGCAATCGCGTTATTGCTGTAAATTGCTATTCAACCCGTTATCTTCATTGTTGTTATTACTAATGTTACCGCAAGCAGGATTCAGTGTTAAGTCGGATAAATGGCAAGCTATTTTCTCACACAAATATAAACAACTTCATTCCATAAACCTCATAACAAATAGAATTTTTTTACTTTTCTAAGACACAAAAAGGGTGTTCGACAAAAAAATCTGGACCGGTTAACGAGCTTAAGATTTTTGAAAACTGGGGAAAAATTTATTTTATAACTTGGTTAGCAACATTTATTTTTTAAAGATCCTCAAAGAACATCAAATTTTCTTCAATAGCAAAATGTTTCTAGAAAAACATATAGTAAGGGTAAAATTAAAAAAAAAAAATGAATATTGACTAATTAGAAAAGTGACTGTTTATATGCTATCACTCAAGTTCTTATTGTATTCTTCTATAAAGGAAGCAATGTGATGATGCAAATAATGTAGTTCAGTAATTGATAAATGCTTTATACTTATCCTAAGGACACCACTGCACAATGAGTTATATAAATAATAACACTAATAACAGAAACATAATAATACAATTATAACAATAATAAAATAAAAAACACTGTATAATAAACATGAATATTATGCAAAAAAATATATATAATAAAAATATAATAAAATTATAATAAAATAAAAATAAAAACTACAATAAACATTAATAATGCAAAAAATAAGCTATAATAAATTTAATAACAAAAATTAAATAACATTAATAATAAATAAAGCTACATTTGCACTAGACATGTTAATGACACGACGACTACATCGTCGCCTCATTCATATTCTTCAACGCTGAGCACATATTTATTATGTTGTTGTCATGTCATCATAGTGTTTATGTAGCTAATAACCATCAACAAATAGTACACACGGTGATTACATTGATATAACAGTACATATATCCTACACATACTGAATTAAAATAAAAATTGTCAATCAAAAAAACCCCTGAAGTTTAATGAGTTACTTTTGGAAAAAGATAATGGAGGATGTAACAACGTACCAGCTAATAATTCTAGAGTCCCGTAGGCTAGGATACGATCCCACAGACACAGTAATTGGTCGGCTGCCAAGTAACCGGAAAATGCCCGCATCAACCACTTAAATGCAATCTTCAAACTGTCAAAAATAAAGGTTAAAAAGAGCTGGGATAAACTAAGATTAAAGGTGGAAATCAAATGCAACAATTGTTAGCTAACTTAATTCATTAATCATCTGCTGTCTTAATAGGAAGGTTTTTTAAAGGGGCATAGTCGACACCAACTTCAACAGTGACGAGATATTTTCTTGAGAGGAGTCGGGAGCCCCAATATTGTTTGCACTCACTAAAAATACCCCACTAAAAATTGCTGATCAAAAATTCAAATTTAAGTAACTATATATTACCTCATCTTCCCTTTTAATTATTAAAATAATGGAATAACTTTAAAATGCAAATACAACTTACGGATGTGCCCCAGTTTCTTTCAAGTGTAAAAACAAATGAGGTTGTCGACTTTGCAAAATAGTCTCAAACAAAACACATATTGACAGCATTCCCTAAAAAAAAATATTTTGAGTCAATCAAATGCATGTTTGCATTGGAGCAATTCTGACCAAGACAAATGGTAAATCTACGTGGGGACGATAATGAAATAGTATAGCCAAATATACCACACGAGTGATAACAATTTTTATATTTAAAGCATTTAAATGGTACTATATATAGCATATATATCTAATCAAGGTTGGTTTTAAGGGGAGCCAGGCCATCCCCACTCCCCCCTCCCCTTTTGGAAAGTTAAAAAAAAAAAAAAAAAGAAGAAAGAAAGAAAATAAAGACAGAAAAAGAAGTTATTGAACACCCAAAACGCCCAAGAAGTTATTTCCTGGCGTCTAGGAAACAAAAATTTCCTGGGGGCTTTCACCCACATTCCCCTAGTGTAGAGTTGTCCTTTGATTAGCTAGCTCCCTTTCAGACATCTCTGGATCCGCCCCTGTTATAAACTGAGAGGATATTTAAAGAGAAAATTTTCTTAATTTAATTAATTACTTAATGATATTTGAGCAAATTTTCACACCTGACAACAAAAATAAAACTAGTTTTCAACATTAAAGCATGATTTAAGTACTTGTATGTCATTTCTGGTCATCAATATTAATTTCTTTTTTAAAAAACATAATTCAGGCTGGCAGTTATATCTAAGCCTATTTACCCTCTAACAAGAATAAATTATGGAACCTTTCACAGTCAATTGGTATAAAATCAGCCTGAATCTAAACATATTTCACCTTGCAACTCAACACCCTTTCATCAAAAGGCGCACAAGAGGCTACAGAGCTCTGAATGCGGCTCTTTCTCGCATGATGAGCCCGTCAGAGGGCACATGGGATATTTCAGTGAGTGCAACAGTGCAACCTGTTGCACCAACCGTCCAGATAAAAACACGGCCAGTTGGTGCGGGACTGCTTATTCGTCCATGCAGGCCTTGCTTATTTCGCAGCTGACCTTGATATGTAAAAGTCGTATGGCTATCTGCCACTTGCGACCCGCTGGGCTAGGGATCGTCACCCCCCCACCCCCGGTACCGATGATAGGTAGGCTAATCCCAGAAAAACTAAAAAAACTCTATGGAACACCGGACGATCTCCGGGGATAAACTGCTGTTCCGTGGCAAAACGACAAAACTTGAAATTTTCACTTTTTGAGAAAAGTAGAGTTAAAGACATCTATAGACATTATGATTATACGTAAAATATTAACTACAACCGTTGGTTTATTTTAAAGTTATTAACGACCCGGAATTGTCGCAAATACGACATATTTTTAGAATTTATCATGTCTGGGGCAATGCATTTATCTAGTTTGTGCATATGTCGTGGTTTAAATTATCAATGAAAATACCATCGCGCATCAACAAGCAAATGCATGCAACTAGGTAGAACTAGTTCCCCAGTGCGGTTATGTCGCTTTCGAATGTAAATTATCCACAGTCAGCTCCCCTTGCAATGCTAATATTAAAGTTGATGCAACATCAAGACTAGAGTTACTTGGTTTACTACGGATATATGACTATTCAATTGCTTTTTAGCCGCTAGCTTTAAAACACAGCAAAAATGGAACTTTTTCCGCTGTCGCCTTCATCTTGTTGAAGACTCTGCAACTGTTTGGTGGTGATTGGGCAGTACACTGGGAGACAATCCCCCTTTTCTGAAAGTGTACTGCATTCGTTAACATGCACATAGACCATATTCACATTCTCATCCGACATGCGTTATTTATTGAAACTCACGAAGCTGAAACACAAGAGCAGCGATGGGAATTCAACCGGGGACCAAAAGATCTCTATGGTTCAGCGCACACACAGTGGCTACCACCAGTTTAGCCAACCGAGTTATTTAGCTGCTCTCAAATGAAACATGGGAAACAGAGAGCAACAGACGATCGATCGCAACGAGCGCTCATAGTTGCTCACTATTACTCAAAATAGCTGGAAAGTTCCAAAGGTCAGTTGATGTCAGTTGAGTCCCCTGGCAAGGGCAACATAAAGCTTAATAATGAGATTTGTAGGTTCAAATCCCACATGAATCATTTTTAAATTGTTTATTCAATTTTTTTTTTTTTTCTTTTACTTTATAATGTTGTCAGTTCTTCGAATCTGTCATTAAAAAGGGTGATTATGTATACTATACTTACATAATTATACATGATATTTATTACTTACATTTTGTTTTTCAATTGTACTCTATTTATAATACTGTATGTCAATGATCAAAATTCAAAAATCAAATCAAATGCACTCAACAAGATCAACACCTAATTATTATTATTATTACAATTGCAATTATGATTATGGTTGATTATGATTCTCTATGATTATGAATATGTTTATGATTATTATTGATTATGGTTATGTATATGATCAAGATTATGATTCATAATGATAACCATTATTATTAGATTATTTCAGTTTTACTCCTTTATTATGTCAATTATGATTGATTACAACTACTGTGGTTATGAATATTATTATTCTTGATTATGATTATATACTATATGTGTATCATTATGATTGATAATGAATTTGATTATTGTAATGATTATGATTATGAATATGTTTTGTCTATTTTGATTATGATTGGTTAGTTATGATTATTATATGATTGATAATGATCAGAATTGATGATTACCATTATTAAGAAGATAATTTCAGTTTTGCTGCTTTGGTTTTGAGTAAACCAAAATAAAGTACACAAGTAAATAAAATGAAGCGTATTGGCCGTTACCTGTTCGTGGGATGATATAGTGTGTAATCTGTGAAAGTGGCAGCAATATAGTTCACGGAAATTGAAATACAGCTTGATTGGATCGTCAAACACGAAGCAGAGTGGTACAACTAAAAACAATGCCACAAATCTATTAGACACCATCATTAAATATCGTCTGCCTACTAAATTAATCAAAGCTTCATTCATTGAATTAGAGCCAGGTATAGTAATACACACTTATAACAGTTTTTTTGTCTCTCAGACTCAACACTGTCTGTTCAGATACTGTCTTATTATCTAGAGAAGGCGTCGACACGATCACAAGAATAACATTATACTATTGAGGTACTTGACTACAAGATGCTACTAAAGATTAACATCACAGATTTTTATCTCTTGATCTCAAGAAATACTGTTTAATACAATAAAGTAGAGAAGGCATCAATATGATAACACGATTTTGATTTTGATTAATGATAACGATGATGATGATGGTGATGATAATGATGATGAAAATAATGATGGTGGCAGTGATAATGGTAATGATGATGATGATGATGATATGATAGTGGTTATAATAAAGTTTTCCTGAATATATCTATAATAGGATTACATTTATTTGTTGAGAAAGACAATTATAGTGATTATACCATACAATAATTTTTAAAAACGATGAAACGAAATTTAGAGTTTGAAAGCTTACCTAGCATTGAAAATCCATGAAAAGGAATCACGCCATTAGGCGGGTAAACGACTGAATAATCCTCAACTCCTAACATTCCTTTATCATTTTAAAAAGTCAAGGAGATAAAAAAAAATATATGCATAATTTATTATATGATTGAGTAATAAAAACCCAGAAAGTTATATACATAAATTTTCAATGACACAAAATGCTTGTGAGTTTTTCCAAAAGAGCTCACAATGAGATGTACTGCTACACCAAATCTACCACTTCTTCGATTATCCTAATAATCCTATTAAAGTCAAGTGATGTATTTCATTATCGTATGATCTTAGTGCTATCGGAGTAAAAGACAGCAGATAAGGATAAGTATGTGAAATTAAACACACAAACCTCGTATGTACGATTTAGCGGGTGACGCCGAGCTGTTTGCAAAATGCTTGAGAACATACGTATCTCTACTAAATAGAAACAGCACTTGATAGAGATTATCTTCAAAGACGAAATATTGGTCATCATTTGCAGCAGTTAACTTCACATCCTATGAAAAAAAAAAACAGCATGAAAAAAAAAAGAAACTAAATTTATAAATAAAAGATAAGAAATTTTATAAAATTAAATGTTATTACAACGGAAATGTAATATAAATTTTAAAAATAAAAAAAAAAGAATTATATTTTTAAAAATTAATAAAATATATACAATTATAAATGAAACACTTCGACTATGACATCACACATGGATTATGATATCACATGCAAAGCTATGACATCACATGCAAAGCTATGACATCATATGAATGACTTCACATGTTAAGATAATGCCATTCCTGTGGCTTTTTTTATAAAACCTTCATTTTAGACCAAAACAAAATTTAACTTTAATTAAAACTTAAGGAATTTTGTAGTAAAATTTCTGGAAACAAGGTTTATTGATCTGTTTGATGTGCAATTTAAGTTTTTTTTTTTGTTTTTTTTTTTTTTTGGAGTTCATTTCTCGATTTTTTATTTTAGTTCAAGATTTCAAATGGCCACTGGCAATATTTACATGCTTGTATTTCAAGACCTTAGCTGTTAAACAATATTGTCAATAGGGATTTACGTATTAGTCTACACTGTACAGATAAAGATAGCCTGCACCATGTTTTATAGCATCCCCGGAGATAGTAATAACAGCATGGCATATAAGTGCACAGCAAATGACCATACATCAATACGGCAACCAGCCACTGTTTTGAAAGCGCAGTTGTTAATCCACACAAGAATGGCAGAATAATTGACAGAAGGAAATAAACAAAGCAACAATTTACAATGTGCTTTGTTTACACTGACAGGCAGATCGGTGAGTGAGGAAAGTGCGACTCTTCTTAATGCCTGTGTGTACACACTGTTTGTACACTTTTCCAGGAATGTTGTTGAACAGCTTTCACATAATATGTGCACTTGTTTGCCTTTCCTTCCTCTACACCTGAAGAGGTTTACTCCCATGGAATATCATGAGCAGATTCAGAACTTGGCACAAATGCCACATTATCATTCTTTTGCTCAGTTAGCATTTTTACTCCAACAATAATTCCAATGAGCAGTTCGGATGATTATGAACCTCGACACTTTTTTTTCTCCGTCCCTGAGCAGCAGTTGCCCATGAATTACCAGTAGTTTGGCTGTCATGAATCATCACTCCTTCCTCAACAATTGAGCAGTTTGGCCCCTATGGTTGACATAGGAATTTAGATCCCATGGACTGCAACATATTTTGTTCTTCTTCTCCTCCTGATTTGGCTTCATAGAGCACCATAAGCAGTTTGGGTGACCATGAATCGCCGCCTTTTTTCCTCTGCTCCTGAGCATTTGGCTCCTATGGACTGCATGAGTATTTTGGCACCCATATATTATCGCTTTTTGATCCTCTGGCGCCAAGCAGTTTTGCTCTAATGAAGTTCATGAATAGTTTGACCCAATTGCTATTTTTTCCTTTATCTGCCCCTGAGCGGATTGACATCCATGCACCTGCCATGAGCAATTCAGCACCAATTGGCTCAAACTTGATTGCCATGGGCCATTTTGCTCATATAAGTATTATCGCTGTTTCATCCTCTGGCCGAGCAGTTGTGCTCACATGAAGTTCACTAATAGTTTGACTTCCATTGCAACTTTTTTGTTTATCTGCCCATTAGCAGAATGGCATCCATGGATACTGCCATGAGCAATTTGGCTCCAATTGGTTGCATGCAAGCAATTTGGCTCCAACTGGATTACCATGGGCTGTTTTGCTCACGTAAATCAATGCATTTACCTTTTGCTCCCATCAATACAATGAATATTATTTAGGATCACTGGGTTACCATTATGAGCAATTATGAAAGTTTGTCTAGAATGATTAATTGCCATATATTACATTCTCTACACATGAGAAGGTTTTCTTTCAAATCATCTTTCACCAATTAACATTTCTGATAACTTCCCGTTTTATATTCAGTATGGAACCCTCAAAACTAATTTCAATGATAAATCTAGCACATATTCCATCAAATTTTCTCTTAGGCATGAATTTCTGCAATTATTCTTAATTTACCCAGGGGATATTTTTTCTATGTGAAATGCCGTCACGGAATTAGTCTCCTGGAGCTGAATATAAAAGACTAGTTAGTAGTAGATTATAGTATATAAGCTTTATTTTGTTTTTTAAATCAAGTTTCGTAGGTTGAGTAGAACCAAAAGCAAAGTCTCCTTGGAATCCAGATATCTGAAAACTACAGTATTTCAAGCTCTCTCTAATACAGACAAATTTTCTTTGACAAAATAACTCTTTGTATGCCTATTATATATAGTCATGATTGCCAATATATGATATATATATATATATTTATATATATACATACATATATATACATATATAATTATATATATATA